TAGGAGTTGTGGGATCTTGCAGGAATTGTAGCATGTTGCAGGAATTGTGGGATCTTGTAGGAGTTGTGGGATCTTGTAGGAATTTTGGGATCTTGTAGGAGTTGTGGGATCTTGTAGGAATTGTGGGATCTTGCAGGAATTGTGGGATGTTGCAGGAATTGTGGGATGTTGTAGGAGTTGTGGGATCTTGCAGGAATTGTGGGATGTTGTATCTGAACAACTCAGGCCTCAGAGCACCAGCCATGCCGCTCGTAACAGTTCTTAGCAGAATTCTCTTAGAATTTCTCAGAATTTTCTCTCTGGAAAATCCATCAAAGTTACCAAGACATCAACTGTGCTAAAATAAGAACCAAGAAGCTGAGAAACCAAACACCAAGACCACAAAAACTGGATAGCAGAAGACTGTAAAACACCTAGACTGCAACCACGGATACTGAGAAACAGAGGCAGGAAATGAGAGAACACGACAAAATCACCAATCAAGAATTGTGTACCCAGTCATTTGTAGAATCCATAGAAGTGTGTGTAATGTAAACAATAAACAGCTTCTGCTTAACCATATTAGTTAATTGTACAGGAGTCCTGGATCTCCCACAGCAGGGTGATTTGGGTGTCCTTCTGTTGCCACATTTCTCTTCACAGAGAAAAGCAAGGCACAATTTTTCCCAAGAATATTTCTGGGTTTCACATTCTCTGAACCTCAGAGAAAGGAAAAACGCAGTTCTTATCATTTGCTGCGCCTGTGTTGTACCAAAGTAAACGACAATATGGAAATGATTTACCCAGAGTGATGGTGTTCTGTTCCCTGGGCCTGTCAGGGCCAAGAGTGTGTGTGTGTGTGTCTGGAGAGTCACAAGAGAGTCACAGAACAGTCACAGAATTGAGTGCAGCACTGTGCAGCTGTGTGCAGGGTAAGCGCTTACAAATTCAGTTTAAATGTATGTAATATAGTATAAAAAAATAATTAATCAGCCTTCTAATAAGATGGAGCCAGATACGTCATTCTCTCCCCAATGTTCTGGGATGCCTTTGATACTAAATCCTTCCATCCCTGTCCTTCAATCCCTGCCCTTCCATCCTTGTCCTTCTGTCCCTGTCCATCCCTCCCTGTCCATCCGTCCCTGTCCATCCATCCCTGTCCATCCATCCCTGTCCTTCCATCCCTATCCATCCATCCCTGTCCATCCATCCCTGTCCTTCCATCCCTATCCATCCATCCCTGTCCCTCCATCCCTGTCCATCCCTCCCTGTCCATCTGTCCCTGTCCATCCCTCCCTGTCCATCCGTCCCTGTCCATCCATCCCTGTCCATCCGTCCCTGTCCATCCATCCCTGTCCTTCCATCCCTGTCCATCCATCCCTGTCCATCCATCCCTGTCCTTCTGTCCCTGTCCTTCCATCCCTGTCCATCCATCCCTGTCCATCCGTCCCTGTCCTTCCGTCCCTGTCCATCCATCCCTGTCCATCCGTCCCTGTCCATCCATTCCTGCCCTTCATTCCTGTCCTTCATCCCTGCCCTTCCATCCCTTCCCTTCCATCCCTGTCCATCCATTCCTGTCCTTCATCCCTGTCCTTCATTCCTGTCCTTCCATCCCTGTCCATCCATCCCTTCCATCCTCCCTTCCCTCCCATTTTTGGGGGCTCAGCCTGGCTGTGCCACCCCAGCTGCCCTCCCTGGCAGGGATTTAGGGCTGCAAAGGAGGAAGCAGCGGGCGGCAGCTGCAGGGCAGTGGGTGTGGGAGTCATTCCAGCTGGGAGGGAGGGATCTGGAGGGCAGCACTTCCTCCTCCAGAAAAGGCTGACGAGCTCTGCCACAACCAGGCCGAGACTTCGGGCTCGTATTTGACCTAGAATTGGAGCCAAGCTCCCCAAACCTGCCCGTCTGGGAGCTCCTGACCCCGAAACACATGAGGTGGACACTCCCTCTCTCTGTCTCTCTGCTCTGCTGAGCATCTTTCCTGCAGCCAGCCCCTCAGACACGGAGTTTTCTGTGTTCTCAGGAATTTCTCAAGCAGGTTCAGTGGTTCAGAGTTATTTTCTTATCAGCTCAGGCTTTGGGTGGCGCTGGGATTTTTGTTTGATCCCATCTCCAAATACACATGGACCCATCACATGTGGCTGCTGGGGTAACTCTTGGGGTTTTAGGGGTCTCTCAGCTCCAGTTTGCCCTAAAGGGGGACAGGGAAAACTTCCCCAACATCTGAGCTCCAAGTCCTTGGCCAAGCTGCCAACCCAAACACTGGGGAAAGCCTTGGAGGAGCTCCAGGAATCTGCTGTCCTGTGGGACCTCAGGTGGTTCCACCCCAAGGGAACCCTTAGAAAATTTATTTTTAGAGCTGGATTTCCCCACTGTGTTGAGCCTGGGCTGAGAGGTGATTCCAACAGCACAACAAATCGGGGCTGGAGCTCTGCAGTCACTGCAAGCAGGACCCAGCACGATAAAACACTGCTCCTCTGGTTGAAAAGAACAATTTATATACCTCAGAAAATCCTTTCTGCCCCAGGAATGTGCAAGGCCATGGAAAAACCAAAGGAAGATGTTTCCCAAAGGCCACTTGGACCCTCTGGAGCTCACCAGGGACGCTGTGGCTGCAGCCCTGCCCTCCTTCCATTCATGGTTTCACTCTGCAGCCTGCAGCAAGGGCAGAACTGGGGGTGTTTTAATTCAGTGCAAGCACAACATTGATTCCAGTTTGGAAAACAGCCTGGAAGTGCCTCCTCGTGGAGCTAATTCGGGGCTTGCATCTCCTCGGAGCCCTGTGGCTTGCATTTTGATGAGCTCCCTCCAGGGAGAGGAGCTGCATTTCTGTGGAACCAGGAGGGATCTGGGTGTTCTTGTGCTGACTAAACCCACCCACGCCTCGGGGCTTATTTGCAAGCAGATCCTGCATGGGTTGTGTCAGCCCTGATGGAAGGGCCTGATGTTCCTGGGAGCTGGCACTCTGATATTCCCGGGAGATGGCACCCTGGTATTCCCAGGAGCTGGAATTCTGACATTCCCAGGAGCTGGCACTCTGATATTCCTGGGAGCTGGCACTCTGATATTCCCGGGAGATGGCACCCTGGTATTCCCAGGAGCTGGAATTCTGACATTCCCAGGAGCTGGCACTCTGATATTCCTGGGAGCTGGCACTCTGATATTCCCGGGAGATGGCACCCTGGTACTCCCAGGAGCTGGAATTCTGATATTCCCAGGAGCACCCAGGTCACTCGGTGTGGCTCTGGGTAGGGCTGGGTTGTATTTGTCACCTCTGGATGCTGCTTTTGTGTCTGGGGTAGTGCAGAGAAGCTGCAGAGGTTGGGAGGGCATTGCTGGGCCATTTCAGGGCTGGGAATTCAAGCCCTGGAGAGCTGATGCCACCAGAGAGGGGGGTGGAGCAGGAATTCAGGCCTCTCAGCCCCCTGGATCTCCCTTATCTCCAGATAAAGATCTGGAATGTGCCCCAGGGAAAGCTTTGTCAGCCGATTTTTTGGGGCAGAGCCCCTGGAGTGTGGGAGATGAGGATCAGCTCTTCCATCAGTGCAGGGAGATGGATGGGAAAAGGGAGGGCAGAATCCTGGAATTGTCTGGGTTGGAAAAGACCTCTGGAGATCACCCAGCCAGGGCCACCTGGAGAGGTGACACAGGTGGCTGCACTGGTGCTCCTGGCTGCCCTTCCCAGCAGTTTTTGATGGAAAAGCTTTGTCATCCCAATCCTTTAGGTGGAAAGGCTTTGTTATACCAATCCTTTAGGTGGAAAGGCTTTGTTATCCCAATCCTTTCTCCCTCCCGATGGGGAAGGGAAGCAGAGGCTGCTGCAGCAGCGCGGCCTCAAATCGAGTTTTTGCCCGGCAGGGACAGCCCCAGGCTGTGGCTCAGCGTTCCCATCCAGGCTGGTTTGGGAGGCGTTTGATGCCCTGATGATAAAACCCAATTTCCGCCGTGCCGTTGACTCATCCGCTGTCCCTGAGCCTCATTCCTGCCTGGCCCTGGCTGTCCCCATCGGTCACGCAGCACAAGGACACCGCTCCCGGCCCTCGGGGCGCTTCAGCTGCTCTTTGATTGTTTCATGGTCTCAGGGCCCGGCAGCCGCAGGAGCCTCGAGTTTGGGGCAATTTGGGGGGGGTTGGGGTGCGGTTATCACCCGCGCCTCGCTGTCACAGTCCCTTTGTCCCCTGCGGTGGTGGCGGGGACCGTGACCGTGTTCTGCGGGCAGGATGGCACGGAAGAACAAGGGCTGGCATGTAATTTGGGGTTGGCTAAAGATTAAGCTCTGGCCAGGTGAGAATGAGCACCTGCGGCCCCGGAGCGGCATTCCAGAGGCACGGGTCACAGGATGGGCGAGTCCCGTGCCCGGCCGGCCACCTGCAGCCAGCTCTCCGTCATGGCAGAGCTCCACCGGCTCTGCTCTGCCTGGAAAGAGTGTTCTAAAAATTGCCAGCCTTCCCCAGCTAAAGTAGGTGAAATATTTATAAACCCATCCTCTAGAGAAGACCTTTTGCGTAAGCATCAACCGCTCCGGCTTTAAAACCCGCGCCCTCCCCCCGCCCCAAGGCAGCTTGTGCTGCTTACCCAGGCAAGGGGCAACTTTAATTGCGTTTGTCTGGCACGGTGGCACCTTTTCAGGGCCACGGGGGACCGCGGGGAGGGCTGGCAGCAGGGAAAAAAAAGGGAATTTCTGGATTTCCTGCCTGGGCTGCGCTCTGCTCCAGCGGGTGTAGCCGCTGTGGCTGCACTTTAATGCCGGGGAGGGCGCAGAGGGGTCGCCCCACTTTTGAGAGGAGGATGCGACCCCCGCGGGGGGGAGCTGGGAGCGATGAGGGTGAGGAGGATGAGGGTGAGGAGGAGGAAGGCGGACACGCGACGCCGCTTCCAGCGCCCGAGGGATGCGCCGGGGTCCGGCGGGGCGGCTCCGGGGGCGGCGGGGATGGAGAGGAGCCCCGCTCCGCCCGGCCCGGAGGCGGAGCCAGCGCCCGGCGCGGCGGGATCGGGAGCCACATCCCGCAAAGGAGGAGCGGGGCCGGGCACGGCAGCGGGGCGGCGGCGGGGCCCGAGCCCAGCGCCCGAGCTCCAGCAGCGGGGCCGCCCCGCGCCGCCGCCGCCGCGCACGATGTGGTGGGACGAGCGGGTGTCGGCGCGGTTCCGGAGGAACCTGCAGCCCACCCTCACCTACTGGAGCGTCTTCTTCAGCTTCGGCCTCTGCATCGCCTTCCTGGGGCCCACGCTGCTGGACCTGCGCTGCCAGACCCAGAGCTCGCTCTCGCAGATCACCTGGGTCTTCTTCTCGCAGCAGTTCTGCCTCCTGCTCGGCAGCTGCCTCGGAGGGGTCTTCAAGAGGACGTAAGAGCCTGGCAAACTCAGCGCTGCTCCCTCGGGGGGTCCCCGCAGAGCCCCCTCCCTTAGCCCGGATCGCGGGTGGGCAGCGCCGGCCGCCCCGAGCCGGGCTTGGGGGATGAGCCGGACTTGTGGGGCTGAGCCGGGCTTGGGGGGCTGAGCCGGGCATGGGGGATGAGCCGGGCTTGGGGGATGAGCCGGGTTTGGCTGAGCCGGGTTTGCGAGATTGAGCCGGGTTTGAGGGGCTGAGCCGGGCTTGGGGGCTGAGCCGGACTCGTGGGAATGAGCCGGGTTTGGCTGAGCTGGGTTTGCGGGATTGAGCCGGGTTTGGGGGGCTGAGCCGGGTTTGGAGGGCTGAGCCGGATTTGGAGGGCTGAGCCGGGCTTGGGGGGCTGAGTCAGGCTTGGGGGGCTGAGTCAGGTTTGAGGGGTTGAGCCGGGCTTGGGGGCTGAGCCGGGTTTGGCTGAGCCAGGTTTGAGGGGTTGAGCCGGGCTTGGGGGGCTGAGCCGGATTTGCGGGGCTGAGCCGCGCCGTGGGATGATGCTGCGTGGGAAAACCATTCCCGAGTGGAAGCGAGCGCAGGGGGCGTCGCGGAGGGTCCGCAGCCCTCTGGCCTCGGAGGGGAGGGGGTTTCCCTCCCCCGGCCGCCCCGCTCGGCTCCCGGTGCGGTTCCATCCCCCGGAGAGGAGCCGCCGCTCCCTGGAGCCCCGCGCAGCCACAGCCTGAGCGTGAAGTTCCAGCCAGAACTTCCCGCGAGGGTTTTGTTTTGTTGTTTTGGGGTTTTTTTTTTCCTCCTTAACCTTGGTTGTTTATCGCCCAAGAATATATTTGGAAGCGTGTTTTAATAACCTCGGCGCTGGAAATGGTGGCAGCGCCGCGTTTTCCAGGAGTTTGGGCGAACACGTGGAGGGATGCGAGCGGTCCTCGTGGTGTGGCTGAGGGAAGGGGGGGACACCGGGCCGGGGGGGACCTTGAGGGGCCCCGAGAGAGCCCCAAACAGGGACTCACAGCCAGCCTCGTGTCCAGGATGTGCTGCAGATAAATCACCCAGGCTGGCTCAAGGCTGAAGATTGCCAGGGAGGCGTTTGATTTGGGGCTGGGTGACAGCTCCGGGATCAGCTGATTATTTACGTTGTCACCGCTCCTGGGGCGGTGATGTAACGTGTGTGAGAGAGATCCACGCACCACGAGTGGGGCTGAGCAGGGAGAATCCCCCCAGGAATCCTTGAAAAACCTGGTTTGGTGTTAAATATTTGCGGATCGAGGGGGAACCCTGGCTCCTGGAGCGCCTGTGAATCGCCACCGTGGGACGTGGAGCTGTCCTGGCCCCCGGAGCTGGGGGAGGAGGGGACAAGTGGGGGACTGGGGACAGCACGTGGGGACCTCGCTGCGGCTGTGCCACGGTGCTGGGTCAGCAGCAGAGCCTCTGCCAGCCCCCGGGCTGCCTCGCATATGTTTGGAGGAGCAGGGGAGGGAAATGCAGAATTCCTGCTGCCAGCTCCTTCCCAAAGCTCCGGCTCTCTGCTGCACAGAACCCATCGGGGCTTTTGTGCTTGGGGATTCCCAAACTTTGAGCTCCACAGCTGCATTTTGTGGGGGAAAGAGTGTGTTTGGTGCTGGTTGGGAAGCAGGATGTGCTTGGGATTTTGGAGAAAAAGGGATTTGTGGAGTCCCCACTGGAGACTGACAGCCCTGCCAGGCAGGCAGGAGGGAATATTTGAGATATTTGGAGCTTGTGAGTGTTGTGGGGAGGTTACTCAGAGCCTTGCAGCCTCCAAATGAGTGGGAATAAGAATTGTTCAGGCTTCAGGAGCTCGGGTACAATCCCTTCTTCAGGGATGGATGGATTGAGCCGTCCTGCCAAGGCTTTATAAATCAAATTACGCCGCCCTCAGGGCCTCAGTGCCGCGCAGGGAGGAGCACTGGACAGGTCATCTTTTCCAGTTAGGAGCTGGAAAGCTGCTGTGGAGCATCCCTGAGCCTGGCTGCGAGCTGAGTGTGATTCCTGGTGCCTGAGGGATGCAGAGTTTGCTGCTTCCTTTGGGTTAAATCGGTCTGGGTGACCCCTGAGGGACAGCAGTGCCAGGGTTTGGGGCAGGAATGGGTGGTGGCACCTGAACCCAGGCTCTCCCATCCCCAGAGGAGCTGCTGGGTGCTGCTCCTGGAGCTCTGGGAGGAGAGATTTCAGGGCTGCTCTGTCCCTTCAGCACGACCCAGCTCCAGGATTCCCTCTGGTGTGAGATTTCAAGGAAAAACAAATTTTGCCACAGCCAGGGGATGGAGGAACGATGCTGCTGCTCTGTCCTGCAGCTCTGGATTGCTGCCGGTCCCTTCCCTGAATTTTTGGGGGTGCAGAGGCAGGGCTGGGGGAGCAGCCCCCCAGGAAATGGGGTTTGAGCTCTCAGGTCCACCTCAGGCTGCTGCTCCCCGGGGTTTGCTGGGATGTGTGCCCAGCTCTGCCCCAGGAAATGCAGCTTTTCCCAGGGCTTGTATCCCTGGGGCTGGGCTGGAGCCCTCCTCAGTCCCTGCTGCTGCTGGGGGGCTCCAGGAGCACAGAGAGCCCCCCAAAAAGGAGCCCTGAGCTCCTCTGAGCACCCCAAGGACTTCTCTTGCCTGGAATCAGCTGGAAAAGATTCCCAGGAGCCCCTGATGGGGTGTGCGGCTGCAGGAGCAGCCCCAGCCGTGGAGGTGGGATGGGACCAGCCTGGGCTCAGACACACGAGGGGAGGTGAAATTTTGGGGAATTCCCACTCCTGGCACTGCCAGCTCCAGGGGGGAGCTCTGTGCACCTGCATTTCACTTCTCTTCCCCGTTTTGTTGCATTTCAAGCTTGAACTGTGAGGTTAAAGCCCTGCACACGCTGCTGACAGAAGCACCAGAGTGCCCCAGATTGGTATTGGGATTTTTTTTTAATTCAGAAACGGCATTTTTGTGTCGGGTTGAAAATTTACTTTTGCTCCCAGGGTTTGGGGCAGCCCCGGGCTGACCCCAGTGGTGTGGGCAGAGATGAGGAGGGCACTGGGGAAACTGGAGCCGTGCTGGAGCCCTGGGCAGGCTCCTCTCAGCGTGATCCATCCCATTCCTGCAGGGCTGAGGAGATGGGACCCTTTTATTCTCCTTTCACAGCCCCTGTGTGTGTCCACACAGCTCCCAGGGACAGCCCTGTTCTGTCCCTGCCCCCACATTCCCATCTCCTGGAGGTTCCTGGAGCTCTCGGGACACTTCACTTGTCACTGCCACCTTTTGTTGCTCAGAGAGCAGCGCAGGATGAGCCCCTTGGGGCCACAGAACTCCCCGAGGCTGGCCCTGCTTCCCGCAGGAGACAAGGGGATAATCCTCGCCTCCTCCACATCCTCACCTTGTCCCCTCGGGGCTTTGGGTTTCTAATGATCAGTTTTGCAAGTCTGAGCTGGCCTGATTATCATTTTTCCTCTTGATGTGAGGGATTTGGAAAACACTCCCTGAGGTGGTGCAAAAAAACCCTGTGCTGGGAGCTGAAGAGATCCTGCTGCGACGGGAACGGGAGGTGGGGGTTCCTAAATCCGTGTGGGAGGGACAGGGGAAGCTTTGCTGGCCTTGGCTGCAGGATTGGCTCTGGAATTGCCCATCCTGATCCTATGGAGATCAGCCCCAACCTCTCCTGGGCAGCTGCGGGCTTGGGATGGAGCCAGGGCGTGCTCTGAGTGCTCTGAAATGAAATTCGGGACATTGCAAGGCTCGTTTCACACCCTGCTGGAGGCGAGCCTGCCCTGGGCTGTGCCAGAGCTGTGCTGGGGACACAGACCAGGCTGTGACATCAGGGCTGCTTTTCCAGCCCTTCAGAGGGGTTTGGCATCATCAGGACAGGCTGAGCTCACGGGGTGCCTCGCTTTGGGTGCCTCCCAAGGGTTTTGTGTCTCAGGAAATCATCCCTGGGTGCTGAGCTGAGTCCCCCAACTGCACCTGGGGGCCTGGCACTGCCAGCAGCAATTCCTTGGTCCCCCCTGGTGCCAGGGCCAGCAGGGCTGGGTGCCACCCTGGGCTGGTGGCATTTGCAGGGGGCACAATTGTGTCATTAAGCCATGGCTGGAGGCAGGAGTTTTTACCCGGGGTGACATTTTTAATGCTCATTAAGGACATAACACCCCCCAATCAGTGTTTCACTGGTGAGGACCCTGCTCCCCAGGGGGGTTCTGCACTGGAGGCGTTTTGGGGATGCTCTGGGAGGTTTCCCCATTGCTCCCAGCCTCGGATTCCCCAGCTCTGGTGCCTCTGCCCCTCTCCCCCTGCTCTGCACCCTGGAGGGAGCAGCCTCGGCTCTCCAGGCTCGGAGCTGCTCTTCTCTCATCTGCCAGGCGCTTTTCCTGCCATGACTGTGCACATCTCGCCCGGCTCCCTCCCTCCCTCCCTCCCTCAGTACTGGATGCCTGACAGCCAGTGCAAAGAATGTTACGACTGTAGTGAGAAATTCACCACTTTCCGAAGGAGGCACCACTGTCGACTCTGTGGGCAGATCTTTTGTAGTCGATGCTGCAATCAGGAAATCCCTGGAAAATTCATGGGTTACACAGGTAAGGTTTATTTACTGGGAAACAGCAGTCTCTGTGTGCTCATCTCTGTTTGGGTTACTGCATCTGAGATCATGGCATCTTCTAGAAAATGTTGTGCAGGTCTGTAGTGGGCTTAAAAACAAGAAAAAAGAATCACAGGACCTGATTCTACCAGTTTCTCTGTGAAAGACGGTGGATTATGCCATGCCTGCTAATTTTTACCACACTACAAAACATATGGCTACTATTGAACAAGAGTGCGCAGTTCAATAAAGTATGCTCGAGGAAAAGCTTCTCTGAGTAACAGTAGTTTTAAAGAATGAGCCACATGCTTTACTTGAGGGGCAGGGGAACGTCTTTCAAATACCAGTTACCAAAGTCTAGACATCAGCTGGTGTGTCATATCTAACTGGCTATTGTTCTGCCATCATTTCAGTATGCATGGGTGTTCTCCCTCCCTCCCCTCCCTCCCTCCCCCAGAAATCCCACAGCTCTGCTGTCAGAGGACCATCAGTAGTCACAGCTTGGAAAATATTGTCTGCTCCTGCCCCGGGCTGGGCTGGGCACCGGAGGCTCTGGCACGGCCAGAGGAACCGGGAGGGGCAGGAGAGAGGGGCAGGAGAGAGGGGGAGGAGGTGCCCTTGGCCCAGCAGGAGCAGCAAGCAGGACATGGAGGGCCAGGTCACTGTGGGGCTGCAGATGGAGCAGGGCTGTGACAGGGCCAGGGCTGTGACATGGCCAGGGACAAGTGACAGGGCCAGAAAAAAGTGACATGGCCAGGGACAGTGACAGAGCCAGGGACAGTGCCAGGCCCAGATCTGTGATATGGCCCAGGGCTGTGACATGGCCAGGGACAAGTGACATGGCCACAGCAGTGACAGGGCCTCGGGAGCAGTGACAAGGCCATGGCCAGGCTGTCCTGGCAGGGCAGGGGGTCTGGCTGGCAGCTGGGTCTCCTCCTCCTCCTCTTCCTCAGAGCCTTTTCCAGCCTGGCTGGGGGTGTGGAGCAGGGATGGGGGATGTTCCTTTCTGGCACTGCTCAGACCCACACCCCCAATTACTGCTAATTACCAACTGCCACCACCCGGGCTGTGACAGGGACCTGGATGCCACTCGCTGTCTGCTGTGCCACTCCAGCCCCATCTCTCTGCTCATTCCAGTGCTTCACTCTCTGCTCCTGCTTCCCTCCTTCCTTCCCTCCTTCCTTCCCTCCTTCCTTCCTGCCTTCCCTCTTGGCAGCCCTGCGGCCGTGCAGTGCCAGCCCAGGCACTGCTCACTGCCAGAGCCGGGAGGGGACAGATCCCTGCCCTGGGAAGGGACAGATCCCAGCCCTGGGGGGGGACAGATCCCAGCCCTGGGGGGGGACAGATCCCAGCCCTGGGAAGGGACAGATCCCGGCCCTGGGAAGGGACAGATCCTGGCCCTGGAAAGGGACAGATCCCATCCTGGGAAGGGACAGATCCTGGCCCTGGAAAGGGACAGATCCCATCCTGGGAAGGGACAGATCCTGACCCTCAGAGGGGACAGATTTTATTCCTCCTGGAATGCGGGTTTGGAGGGCTGGTTGCTCTTCTCTGCATCTGAGAGGCATCACCCTGCAGGAGGAGGTGACAGTGTCCCGGGCTGGCTGCAGGGAGGGGTGACACCGGGCTGAGGGGTGTGGAGCATCTCCCTCCTCTCTCCAGGAAATCTGGGGCTGCAGGAGCTGGAGCTGCAATTCCAGGGCTGGGAACAGGAGGTGAGGGCAGCGTGGCTGTTGGATTATATCTTTTTCTGACCCAGAAATGGGGTAACAGAGAGGTGGTTTAAAACCCTTTGTGTCACTTTCAGTCTCATGAGAAGGGTGAGACAATACAGGTGTTACAATTCACACCACCACAATCAGAAGCTATTTCCTGATTACAATACACAATAAGTTCTTGGTTTATCAGCTTTAGCCACACCACGCTGTAAATGCCTTAAGGAATTTATCCCTAGAAAGGGTGGTTGGGCATTGGGAGGGTGGCATCACCATTCCTGGAAAACCTGGCTGTGGCACTGTGATGCCCTCACTGCCCTGGGCTTAGGAGGAATTTCTTTCCAGAAAGGGTGGTTGGGCATTGGGAGGGTGGCATCAGCGTTCCTGGGTGTGTCTGAGGAAAGCCTGGCTGTGGCACCGTGGGGCCCTTACTGCCCTGGGCAGGTTTAGGATGGAGTTTAGGTGGAATTTCTCCCCAGAAGGGGTGGTTGGGCATTGGGAGGGTGGCATCACCATTCCTGGAAAACCTGGCTGTGGCACTGTGGCAGGTTTAGGATGCCCCGAGCAGGTTTAGGATGGAGTTTAGGAGGATTTTCTCCCCAGAAAGGGTGGTTGGGCATCAGGAGGGTGGCATCACCATCCCTGGAGGTGTTGGTGGAAAGTGGCCCTCAGGTCTGGTGACACAGTGGTGTCAGGTCACAGGTTGGACTCGATCACAAAAAGTCTTTTCCAACATAATTAATTCTGTGATTCTGAGGAGGAGCTGGGGGGGCTGTGCCACCCTCCTGCTCCAGCGTGTCACCTCCTGCAGGCCCTGCACTTCTTCGTGGGTTTCGGGGCGCTGCTGAGCCCCCTGATCGCCGACCCCTTCCTGTCGGACACCAACTGCATCCTGGCCAACGGCACGGCCAACGCCTCCAGCAACCTCCCGCACATCCGCAAGTCCCTGGTGCCACACCACCCCGGCAACCTGTCCCACTACGACCTGCCCATGAAGGGCATGGTGGTGACACGCGTGTCCTACGCCTTCTGGATCATGGCCCTCATCAATGTGAGTGCTGCAGCTGGATATCCAGCCGGGATCATCCCGGGAGTATCCAGCTGGGATCATCCCAGGAGTATCCAGCCAGGATCATCCCAGGAGAATCCAGCTGGGATCATCTCAGGAGTATCCAGCTGGGATCCTCCTGGGAGATCCAGTTGGGATCATCCTGGGAGTAACCAGCTGGGATCATCTCAGGAGAATCCAGCTGGGATTGTCCCTGCTCCAGGGATTTGGGGGGTTTCTGGTGTTTGGGGGGTCCTGGAATAGAGGTGAGATGCAGGGAAAGGGTCATTTGTTACCAAATCTTGTTTTTATTAAGGCACTTCCCTGCTGGATGTGCTGGGATTGATTCAGGGGTCTGTCCGAGCTCTCTGGGAGCTGGACCAGCAAACTCTGCTCAGATGCAGAGTTTTTCCTTCGTGCTCAGCTGGGGATGGCTTGGCAGGAGGGGATTTGGAAATATTCCCAGGAAAGCGCCCATCAGTGACCTGGATGATAGGACAGAAGTGATCAGGGCCCCTCTCTAGTTATTATTTTCCCTGGAGATCACAGCAGGTGTAAAAGTCCTTCCTCTGAGGGGGACAGGAGGGATCTGCTGTCCCTTTTGCCCACCTGAGGAGCAGTAAAATGGGTGATGCTGCCTGGCAGCTCCTTCCCTCTGGAATTCAGCTCTCAGAGCTCGAGGATGTGCACATTCCCCTTCTCCTGTCCCTGCTTTGCCACCCCTCCACCAGCACCGGGCAAGGGGAGCTGCACTTCCTTTCCTTGGGCTCTCTCCATTTATGAAATTATTGAAACACCCCCATTTTCCCCATCCAGGGGTTTCCAGGCCCTCCCAGCTCCCTGTGGGAGGAGCTTGGGCAGGTGCTGGGATGAGTTTCTGGGTAGAATTACCCAAAAAAGGCCCAGCCTGGGAGGAGACACAGCTTTAATTATCTCCAGCTCTGTCTGTGCCACGGGAAATGTGCTTTTAATTACTCCAGAGCCAGCGGATCCTGAGCAAACCCATTGAGCTTCACACCTGCTTTGAACCCGATGATGTGTCTGATTTGGGAATTTCCAGAGCCCTCTCTGTCCCCAGCCGTGTCCTGAGGGTGTTTTTGGGGTAGGATGGCACCACAGGCTGTGGGTTTGTGCATCAGGACACGCTCAAGTGCTGCACGCAGAGGTGGGTGGGTGGAATACAGAATTCCCAGGACTCCCACAGGCTGTGGAGGAACACCAGGAACGTGGAAGGGAGGCTGGGAGACTGAGAGGTTTTGGGATAAGGGTTAAATAACAAACACACAGTGGGGAGTTAGATGTGCTAAGCTCCCGAGCCAAGCTGTGATTGCCTTTCCCAAATCCTCATGGAGGAAACTGATTTTGTTTTATTTAAACCACCCCAACCTGCTGGAGATGCTGGGAGCAGCTCAGCTCCAAAGTGCTGACCCTTTTCCAGCAGAGGAAGATGATGGGAAGGGGTTTTTAAACCTCCAGGGACATGGATGAAAAGAGTTAACAGCAGAAATGGAAACCAGGAGCAGCAGCTTGGTTATAAAATGGCCAAATCCCACATTTCCAGCCCGGTTTTTGTGTGGATTCTGACAAGGCACGAGCTGAAATGATTCATTTCGAGCTCTTGCTTTTGTTTAGAGTGGAAATGTCTCAATCTGACTCTGGCACAAGTGCTCAGTGCAGAGCTGACAGCGGAGCTGTGCCGATGTTTTTGAAGCAAAATGGGTTTGCTTTGGGAAAATGAAGCAGCTCAGCATAATCAAAACAAAGCACTTGGATCACTCCCAGCCAAAATCTTTCACTCGACAAGAAAAAATTTTTGCCTTTTCATCCCGATTTTGGAACAAAACCTCCATATTTCAGAGTTCAGTTCTCCCACAGAACGGAAATTTCATCACCCAGCCCGTTGCAAGGGGCTGGAAATCAGGGAAATGTTCCGTGGAGAGGGAGGTGTTTGTCAGGAAGGTGCTTTCCCAGGGGAAGTGTGGGACACTCCATTGTGCTCTACAGGAGCCTGGGATACAATGGCAGGGAAGGATCCCGGATTCCTGGGGGGAACAGACAGAAATAGCAGCAGGAGGGAAGGAAGGAGCTGGAATATCCCCACGCTGAGATGGGGATGCAGCAGCTTGTGGAGGTTTTGGGGATGGATAAAAGCTGCCAGGTGAGGGAGGGAGCAGCTCTGGGAATTTGGGAAGTGTTGGATGCAGGGAATTAGGAATTCTGCTTGGACAGGTGAGGGAGGGAGCAGCTCTGGGAATTTGGGAAGTTTTCAGTGCAGGGAACTGGGGGTTCTGTTTGGCCCTTGGCTCCTGGTGGGAAATGCTCTGGTGTCCCTTTTTCTCTTGGGAAAAGAAAATCTTCCTGCCAAAAAAAAAAAAAAAAAAAAAAAAAAAAAAAAAAAAAAAAAAACCCCAAAAAAAAAAAAAAAAAAAAAACCCCGGGGGAAAAAAAAAAAACAAAAAAAAACAAAAAAAACCCACCTAAAAAAACCAGCAAAAAATATCCTGGGAAGGAATTCTGGGAGAAAATGGCACCAAAATCTGGCTGCCCAGGAGGGAAGGTCAGGGATGGGATTGAGTGGCCACAGCCATGGGTGGGACCTCCTAAAACTGTCCCAGCCTGGTTAAAGCAAAAAGGACCTGGTGGATTTAAAGCTGAGGGTGTGGAGAGCAGGGAAAACCCCAGAGTGGGACTGGGAACTGGGGAATCCCAAACTGGGACCTTGTCCTCAAGGCTGGGAGTGCCCAGGGCCGTTATCTGCACAGCCAGGCCGTCTGAGGGGAGGGAATATTTTTGCTAAATCTGCAATTCAGAAGAATGAAATCTGGTCCTGACCTCCGGAAGGATCAGAACTATCAAGCAAATGCGTTTTTCTTCCATGGGACCGAACTCACTGTTCCTATTCCCATTGTTCCCAGAACAATGCAGGCCTCATAAATGAATTCAGGCGCGAGGGGCGGGGTGGGAGGGATGGGGGGGAATTCTCCATACATTTAAATCATGCCACGAGCCAACAAAAGGCAGGAAATTTGGAGCTGGAGCTCACACTTGCTCCCAGACATGTAGAAAACAAGGGAATGAGCTGTCACTTAGGATTTCCTGGCTTTCTCCCCCAGTTGGTTGCAGTGTAAACACTGCTGGGCTGTGCTGGGAGGAGACGGGAGAGCTTCGCTCGCTCCCCTCTGTTTCCTCACCAAAAAAAAAAAAAAAAGAAAAGGAAAAAAGGAAAAAAAGAGCCATTCCCCGTTTTTGGGGAGGCACCGGGGTGTCGTGGGTGTGGGCTAGGAGCGGGCTCATCCCTTGGGATCACTGTGCCAGGGGGTCCTGCTGCCCCATGGATGTGGGGTGGGACCGTGGAGTGCTGGAGCATCCCTGGATGCACAGAGGACCTCAGAGCTGTGGCTGGACCCTCCCTGCTCCGCTCAGGCTGTGCCAGGGGGCTGCTGCAGGGCACTGGGCTGTCCCTGTTGGCCTGGGAACCACAGGCTCCTCTCTCAGGAGGTGCTGAGCAACCCCTGCTAATGGCTGGGGACAGGGCTGGGAGCAGCTCCCTCTTCCCTCCCGCAGAATTCCAACTGCTCTGCTCCCACAGGCAGCAGCTGCTCTGGGGTTTCAGTCTTTGGGTAGCAGCAGCCAGGGTTGGATCCCAGAACATTTGGGGTTTGTAGGGCTGGCACTTTGGGAGGTTGGTCTCGGGGTTTCTGTGCCCATTTCCAGGTGAAAGAAGCAGCAAAAAATATCCTGGGAAGGAATTCTGGGAGAAAATGGCACCAAAATCTGGCTGCCCAGGAGGGAAGGTCAGGGATGGGATTGAGTGGCCACAGCCATGGGTGGGACCTCCTAAAACTGTCCCAGCCTGGTTAAAGCAAAAAGGACCTGGTGGATTTAAAGCTGAGGGTGTGGAGAGCAGGGAAAACCCCAGAGTGGGACTGGGAACTGGGGAATCCCAAACTGTGGGCAATGGATACACCCCAATGCTGAGGCCTGGGACTGGCTGGGGATGCCTCAGCAGATCGGGAGCCTTTTCTCCCATTTTTCTCCCTCTTTTCCCCTCTCTCCTATCCCCACCCAGCCTCAGCATCTCCTTGTCCCATCCCCGTCTCTCCTTGCTCTGAAATTCCCTTCAGGCACCTCCCCTGCGGAATCTGAGCCCAGCACCTCAAACCGCTGCTGCTGGGGGAGCTGGGCTGTGGTTTTGGGGTGTTTTTGGGGTGTTTTTGGGACGTTCAGGTGCTCACCCCCTCTCTGTCCCCTCCCCAGCTGCCGGTGCCCATCGCTGTGTTCTTCCTGCTCTACAAGGAGCGGATGGTGCCCTGCTTCAACGGCAGCAGCCACCCACTGCTGTCAGCTGACGAGCTGGCCCTGGAGACACGGCCTGGGGACAAGGACGAGCTCTCCACCGCTGGCCAGAGACCCCACACAGCCGCAGGTGAGCTGGAGGTGCCTCTCTTGTGGATTTGGGGGAGAAAAAGCCATATTTGAGCGTGTCTGGGTGTAATGGGAGATCCAGCACTGCTGTCTGAGGAGGAAACAAAGTGTGCAAAGTGTGCACAGGGGTCTCATCCAGGGACACCCAAACAATCCATATGGTGCCCAATTACCTTCAAATTAGATGGAATCTTCAACAGAGGTTGGTATCCCAATCCCAATGAGGCCTTCAGGCTGTGTTTCTCCATTCCATGTTGCTCCAAGCCATCCTAAAGCCAACCCTGGGCCCCCCAACCCTTTAGGGACACATGGCAGTTGTGCACCTTAATTCTCTCCTGGTTTTGGGTCACATTTCTTACTGATTATTCAGTTTAAAAGTGGTCATTGTGCTGCAGATGGTGATTTTTGTAGGAAAGGAATAAGAAATAACAAATTTCCCCTCCCTTGTTTGAGGGGAAAAGTGAAATCCAGCAATAGTTTGCTCTTGACCTCATGGCTGCACCCTGCCTTGGGGACAATGGTGACATTGTTCTTTCTTAGCCAGGAGAGACGTGTCAGAGTCAATTCCTTGGGTAAATAGTGAATCTCAGAAGTAAATATGGCATAGGACTATGGGGAGTGTTCCGTGTTATTCCAGGAAAGATGGCTTTGCCCCTGGGCAAGAAAAGGGAATTTCAGGAAATTCTTCAAGGTCAGGAGGTGCTGAGATGTGGGAGGGCTCAGGGGTGATGCCAAGCTCCGTGTGTGTGTGTCCCCCTCTCCCAAAGGTGCCTTGTTGGGTGCAATATCCCTTATCCAAGGATTGGGAGCTCTCCTGGGCAGGGCTCCCCTGTGGGGCAGATCCAGGGATGAGGGGATTTGGGCCATGAGTGCCATGGTTGTTTTCATTGCCTGTGAGAGCGGGGCCAGAACTGGGGAGCCCAAAATGGGAAAAGGAGCATGAGCAGCTGCAGTAAGAGAAGTGGCAGCAGAGCCCAGGGTTTTGGGGTATGGAGAGCCCAGGGTTTTGGGGTGCAGAGAGCCAGGATTTTGGGATGTGGAGAGCCAGGATCTTGGAGTGTGGAGAGCCAGGATCTTGGAGAGTGGAGAGCCAAGGTTTTGGGGTACGGAGAATCCAGGGTTTTGGGGTGAGAAGAGCCAGGATTTTGGGGTATGGAGATCTGGGATCCCAGGGTATGGAGAGCCCAGGATTTTGAGGTGAGGAGAGCCCAGGATTTTGGTGTATGGAGAGCCAGAATTTTGGGGTGTGAAGAGCCCAGCATCCCTGGGGGTGTGGGCAGCAGGTTCCCCAAAGAACCAGGATCCCAGGCTGTGGAGATCCAGCATCCCAGGCTGTGGGCAGACTCCACACCCATTCCCATTTCCTTCTGGAAGCTTAGAGGAAGGTAAAGGTGAGGTGGAGCCCCCCAAGCTCAGCAGTGCCCCACATTCAGGGTCCTGGTTGGCTCTGTCCTGGAGCTGTCCCACAAAGCAAACCCCACTGAGGGCTGGCAGCCACCCAGCCCGGGGGGACGTTCTGGTCAGGTTTGCTTTGCATTGTTCTCCACCAGGTCACGAGGATTTGTTCAGCTGCTGCCAAAGCAAGAACTTCCAAGGGGTTTCCTTCACCTATTTCGCCGTGCACATCACCGGGGCTCTGGTTCTCTTCATGACTGACGGGATCGTGGTGAGTTCAGTGCCCAAAGCTCTGGATTTTTTCCTTCCGAACCCCTGTGAAACGCCCAGGGGCTCCTCAGGGGTTAATGGTGAGAGGGGTTTGACAAGTTTGGGAATTTCCCAAGCTCTCCATCTCCAAGGATAAGCAACCCTGAGCTCTAAATGTGATGTTTGGAGAGTGAGGAACTCCAAGAGGGCAGGGAGGATCTTTGCAGGCTGGGCTTTTCCCTGGGACAGCTGTGGAGCTTTGCCCTTTTAGGACAGACTAAACCCCACATCCTGCTGCTGGTGGATCTGCAAACCCTTCCACCATGCACAGGCTCTCCACCACGAACAGTTGAGGGACAGAGGAGCCTGAAGTCCCCACGGGGATGTGACAGAGAGGATTTTCCTGCAGGGAGAGTACTCAGGCTTCGTGTACAGCTACGCCGTGGAGGAGCCGCTGGCCGTGGTGCACAAGGTGGCCGGGTACCTGCCCAGCCTCTTCTGGGGCTTCATCACCCTGGGCAGGCTCATCTCCATCCCTGTGTCCTACAGGATGAAGCCAGCCACCATGGTCTTCATCAACGTGGTAAGGATGGGGTTAATTCCTTGGATTTAACACCTGGGGGCTTTGCACAGGTAGGGTGGGCAAGGAGGTGCCCTCCTGGTAGCCACGATTTGAAATTTGATGGCCCAGCTTTCCTGAGCCTGCTCCTCAGCTGGGAAAGCACCAGGAGAGTTGGCACTAAAAAATTGCCCATTTTATTGACCTGACACAGTGACTCCTTCATCCACAGGGAACATCCTGGGATTGCCATGGCAAAGGGAAGGCAGGTCACGCTGTAAATTCACTGCTTAGGCTGCAGCAGCTGGCAGGGCTTGCTGAAGTCAATAAAACACCTTGGGAAAGGGGCAGGAATCCTTGTGGGAGCTGTAAGGAGGATCTGTGTGAGGACATGGCAGAAAACAGGGAGGGGATGATCCCAATCCCGCTTCTTACGGAGAGAAAAAGCAAAGCAGGCAGTTAACTGCTAATTTATTTGAACCAGAAGTGATTTTGGTTGCTATATTTTGGTAATAAAACACATTACAGTGTGTTACAATACCCATCTAACAGGGTGGGGAGAAGATTTTGGTGTGTTCTGAGTAAAAATCCACCTGGCTGTCACTGACCCTGTGCAGTGCTGGGAGCTGTTGTAGGATCCAGCAGCTCCTGGAGTCACGGCAGCATCGTCATAACAAATTCCAGCTGGAATTTGGCTGCTTCAGGATCCAAATTTCTGCTGAGCTGGAATATCAGAGCTCCCTCTGCTGACTCTGCCCTGGATCACTCGGGCATTTCCCAGAGCTTTTGGTTATTTCCCCTACAAGCCAGAGGTGAGGGAAAGTTAATTTAAGTGCAGTTCCTCTTTGGCTTTAATGCTGTGGCTGCTTTCTGAGCAGTTATTGAGAGTTAATTCTGTAATTATTGAAAGTGACTTCAGTCTTACTCAGCAGAATAAAGAATTATTAGTGATTAAGACATGTAAATATTGTGGAAGGTACTACTGCATTTAAAAGTATATTTTTCAGATAAAACCTTAAGTTTCTACATAATGAAATTAAGACTTAATTACCAAATTATATAATGAAAATTAGAAAATTCTTTAAAGTCGGATGGATTTTCTTTGGCCATTCAGTTTCTCAGACACTGATTTTTTTTTTTCTCCCAGCATATTTCCTCTTCCAGACTATCTCCCAATAAAAATAAACATATTTTCTCTTCCAGAACGTTTCCTATTAAAACCAAACTCTAGACCCTGTTGCACTCAGCATTTTTCTGACTGATTTTTACGGGTGCTGCTCACAGGTTGGGGTCCTCATCACCTTCCTGCTGCTCCTGATTTTCTCCTCCAGCGTGGTTTTCCTGTTTGTGGGCACAGCATCCCTGGGGCTGTTCCTCAGCAGCACCTTCCCCAGCATGCTGGCCTACACCGAGGACATCCTGCAGTACAAAGGTGAGCTGCCATTTAACCAGGTGCATTTTTAGATTCCATCCCCTTTTTTCAGCTCCTTTCCTCCTCTCTCAAGAGGCCTGGAAGTTCAGGTTTGCTTTTGAAGGCAGATTTGTTGCAGGGAAGTGGCCAGTTCTCTGTTTTGCTGATTAATAAAGACCCCAGGCAGGGATCCAGCCTTGGTTCATAGTTTGGGGAGCTCGGGGAGGGGCAGGAACGCTGCTTTGGAGGGATCTGGTTCTGAAAACACCACCAGATTACCTGAGCTGGAAACCCAGAGCCTGGCCAGCTCCCCCAGGAGCTCCCTGCCAGTCCCTGTCTCGAGGGCAGTGAGACAGAAACACAAAATCCTTCCCAGCAACAGGCACCATCAGCTCTGCCAGCACGGACAGGTGACAGGAGATTGAATTTTTTTACTTCAACTTTCACTTTTCTGCACTACTGCAGGTCTGCTGAGGCGTTTTCAGCATTAAGTGGGAATACACACCGAGTATTTTTGATTTTTGTGTAGTAAGATCCACAAGAAAGCTTTAAAGGAGCACAGGGTGGCCCTGCTGGCTGTGTCACTCTGCTGCCACCACCCCCTGCCCTGTTTCCTCACAGGTTGTGCCACCACCGTGCTGGTGACTGGAGCTGGCATTGGAGAGATGGTGCTGCAGCTGCTGGTGGGCTCGGTGAGTAGCCAGGAGCTGGCAAAACCTGAAATAAATTTGGAATTTACGAGTCAAACCCTCAGTTCTGCTCCTGGGCACTCCCTGAGCCTTGAGTTATCAGCCAGCAAAGCCCTCCCTGATGATCCACGAGGAATCTGAGTGATGTCTGATCCCTTTTTTTATTTCCCATCCCACTGCAGATTATCCATGATCGAGGCAGCTACAGTTTCCTGGTCTGTGGGATGATCTTTGGATGCTTGGCCTTCACCTTCTACGCCCTGCTGGTGTTTTTCCACAGGATGTACCCCAAGCCCTCCGCAGGTAAGGGAACCCCAGCCCTGAGCCCTGCTTTGGGATGGGAGCGAGAGCAGCACAAGCCTCACTCCAGAGATTCCAGCAAAATGCAAGGAAATGTTTATTTTCCTGCTGCTTCCTCTCTCCTTTTCCTGCTTTGTCTTGCCCACAAAGCCTTGGCAGCAACAGCTCAGGGTTTGCTTTCTTTTCTGCTGGAGAAGCAAGGGAAAAAAGCAGGAATCACAGACAGCACCAGCTTCCCTGGGCTGTTCCCTGGCTGAAATCCAGGGAATAAGCAGGGCTGCCATCCAAGGGCAGCTGTCAGGCTCTGGAAAAAGCCTCACAGATAAAGGATTTTTGAGTTATCACCTCAGTCTGGAGCTGCTGGTTGTTTTTATACGAAAGGAGCAGAGTGGGACAGGCAAAAAACACATCCAGGTGTGGCTTGGGCTGCGCTGGGCACTGCTGGGGTCACATCTCGAGGGCTGGGCCCCCAGTTTGAGGGGCTGGGAATGGAGATGGGGAAGGGAAAAAAAATAAAAATCAAGTGGAGTCTGACTTTCTGGCTCTGCACAACTCCCTGCGTGGAGGGGACAGCCGAGGGGGATTTGGGATCTTATCCCAGGGAACAGGGACAGGAGGAGAGGGAACATCTCTGGTTCCTCAGGCTGGGCTGGGGAGGCTCAGGTTGGACATCAGCAGGAATTTCCTCCTGGAAGGGGCCTGCCCAGGGGGGTTTGGAGTGCCCAGCCCTGGAGGTGCCCAGGGAAGGCCTGAACATGGTGGGGATGAGGGGGGTGACAGAATAACAACATTCCTGAGGGGAAAACCTCACACCCATCCCCTTTAATCTCAATAAAAGTATCCATTGAGGTGAAATACCGATTTAATCTTTCGCAGAGCTGGACGAGGCCTCCCCGGAGAAAGCAGCAGTGCCCGAGGACACGGGGCAGTACCAGCGCTGAGGGAGGGCCCGGCTCTGCACAAGCAATAAACCAGCCCCAATTAAGCATTTCTCCCAAGGGTGATTTCACATTTAATGAACTGAATCATGCAAGTTCTCTGCAATCAAAAGCACAGTAGGTGGGGTAAGGCAGAATCGAGGAAATCCAGCCCAAAATGTCAAGCTGAGCACTGGGGTTGTGCCAAAAATCCTGCCAGCCTGATCCTGGGACTAAAAGCAGGGACATTTGCACAGCAGTTCCTCCTGCAAATGAAGTTTTTTCTCCTGCAAATGAAGTTTTTTTTCTTCTGCAAATGAAGTTTTTTTCTCCTGCAAATGAACTTTTTTTTTTTACCTGCTCAGGACAGAGGGTGAAAAGGAAAAGCTGCTCTCTGCTCCTCATCCAAGACTGAATGTCTCCTGGCTTGAATAGATTTTATTTCTGGCCTGTGGTGCACAGGAACCCACTGGAATTTGCAGCACAATCCTGGGTTTTCATTCGTTTTTGTCACTAATTCTGTGCCACCTCCCTTGATCCTTCCCAAGGGGGGAAGTCCCACAGTGGCAGAGCCCCCCAGGTGCACACAGGCAGCAGGGCCTGTCTCTATTTGCACACTTAATTCCTGTATATTCCACACTCTAAACAGTGTCTTACTCAGCATGCTCAGGCCTCTTAAATGATTTTAAGTAATCATTTGCCTTTTTTTTTTTTTTTTTTTTTTTTTTTGGGGGGGGGTCCTCTTTTTTGGTTTTTTTGGGTTTTTTTTTTTAAGTCAAGAATGAGCTGTGCTGGTTCCTTTTGCTTTTAAGTCACTCCTCGAGCTGCTCCAGCTGCAGTGTCTTATTTTAATGTTGGTTTTATTTCCAACTTCCAAGCCAAGCTCCAAGAGAGAAGAGATTCTTTTTTTTTTTTTTTTAATTTTATTTTTGGGAGCCAGGCTCCAGCTGCTTCACCTGTGCAATCTCCTCATCCAGGTGCCTTGTGTAAGGTACTCCCACAGCCCACGCATGGCCTGTCCCAGCCACCAGGAGAGGACTGGAATTTTGGGGAATGTCAAACTCCTCCTGTCAGGAGTGGCTGTGGATGCAACTCCTTGCTTGAACTGCTGTATGTGATGTACATATGTACGTGTGTATATAAAGCAGTGTTTAATTAAAGGTGATTGATTGCTAATTGCTCACTGACTGGATTCACTCCAACACCTCCAGTTCTCAGTTCTTAAACTCATTAACTTGAAATCTAACAGGTTTGGGGTTTTTTTGTTTTTTTTTTTAATTAAACTGCTCTTAGAATTTGAAGAGCTGTGGAATGGTTTGGGTTGGGAGGGACCTTAAATCCCATAATCCCTTAAATCCCAAAGAGCCTGAATGGGATCTGCTGTGGGGATGGAATAGAACTGGAATCTCTGCTAGGGTTGGAATCAAATCCCAGAAGGGTTTGGGATGGCAGGATCTTAAAAACCTTCTCATTCCAAGGCCAGGGACACTTCCACTGTCCCAGGTTTCTCCAGCCTGGCCTAGGACACTTCCAGGGTTGGGGCAGCCACGAATTTTCTGGGAAATTTCCATTTTTCCAAGCAGCAGCTCTTCCCTGCCATTAAATATCTCCACAGACTCCTGTAGAACAGAACCTGGAGCTGTTGAATTGCCATTTTCCTCGCTCAAGGTGAGTTTGGATCGGGTCAATGCAGCTGAATTCTGGGTTTAGCTCATCCCTGGACTTCAGGGACACCGTCCTGCCTCAAATCCCATCGATTCTGTGATCCTGTAATGAAACCAAACCCAATTCCAGGCCAGGCTGGAGCACCCTGGGATGGAATGAGGAGGTTTTTAAACTCCTGCCATCCCAAACCCTTCTGGGATTTGATTCCAACCCATCCAGGCTGTAATTCTTCTGCAGCTCCACAGGATGCCACTGTTCCTCTCCTGGAGCTGCCCAGAATAAATCGCCCGGAATGAAACAACCACAGACTGCAAAAGCCATTTACAGCAAAATAAAAACCCTCAATCTGTCCTTCCTTGAGCCCCTCCCAGCATGAGAGCATCTCTGGGCCCTGCTGGGAGGAAATGAGCACCAAAATTTGGGAAGAAATCTCCTCAGTTTGTGTCACAGCAGGGCTGGCAGCTCTGAAATCATCTCTCATTCTGGCCTGGCAGGTTTGGTAAAACAGAGCTCAGTCTCCTCTCAGTTAAAATCCATCATCACAGTTCTTGGGCTTGGTAATTCCAATCTCCATTTTGGCTACTTAGAGGGGGAAAAATCCTTTTTTAGGAAATTTTCACCAGAATAGCACCTGATTTAGCAACACTTTAAAATACAATTTACCTCGAGGTCTGATGAATTCCCTCCTTATCACATCCCCTGCAGCTGTAACTGTCTATTTTCTCTACTGAAAGTAAAAAAAAGTCAAATGAGCAGAAACTTTGTTAAAAATATTTATTTAAAAAAATACAATTGTTTTGCATGTCTGGTTGCACATAACTATTAACATATGATTGACTTGAATAATTTGCTACAATGCTTTTTTTAAAGCCAGCTTGCATTATACAAAGCAAAATCCCTCTGTCAGTTCTTACATAAAATAGTTTTCTTTAACTATTCCCACCCCATTTAAAAAAAAAAAAAAATTGCAATACATTGATTTTTATAAATCGAAGCAATAGAAAAAAGTCACCTGATTTCTCAGGAAAGACCTTCATGATGTTTGAATAACAATTCCCAAAGAGCCACTGCCAAAGCAGCATTTGTCACTTTGAAGTGTCAGGACAGTGCAAAGAAAGTTTTGCATCTTAAAAGCTTTGCCTCCTGATTGTATTCAAACCTGAAATGTGCTCAAACAACTCCATCCCTGCCCTAATCCAGTTGCTCATACTCTGAATTTTCAGGATGATTTCCACGCTGAAGGTCTTCCTAAATGTTATCTCAGAAGGTTAAATAAAAGCAAAATTTAGTAACACTGAACAATTACTGAAAACTTTGGCTATTTATGTACTTGCATTACATACCAGCATTTTTTTTTAAACACAATGGCATTAAGATACTCTAATAAGGTATTTAAAAATAAAAAGTTAGACTGAGAAGCAATTCTGTCCCAGGCAGGGTCACCTGGCTGGAACAAGGGGTGACTTTTACAGTTGTCTTGTCCAGAAAAGTCTCCAGTGCAGGAAGTTTCAGACACTCACTACAACATAACTTTGCCTCTTGAATTTGTAATATATATATATATTTATATATATTTATAGAGAAAAGAAAAATGCAACTCTGTTCTGGAAAGAGCCACTGGAAATGTTCCCCCTTTCTGCTGCTTTCAGGGGAGTTTCCCCCACTGATTGTTCTGAAAATCCCAGCCAGGTAAAACTGGGAAAGGCAAAACTCCAGCCCAGAATTCCAGAGGGAGGGATCTGCTCCCAGCTCCCAAAAAACTGCCAAGAATCCAGCTCAGCCTGAAAATTCCAGCAAGGAACCACCCCAAAATCACCTTCCCAAACCAGATGTGCACTCCAGGAATGAACAGGACAACACACAGCGCTGGGTGGGGGTGCTGGAGTGGCTAAAAATTGATTAAATTGATTTAAATGCCTCCAAGACACAAAAAAAACCTGCCCAGCCCAGGGAAGCTGGAGCAGCTGCTGCTGGATGTGTGCTGATTCCCAGGATTCTGGCCTCCCAGAATTCCTGCTGGAGAAGGATGATGAATTCCAGCTGCCCTGATCTCCTGTAGGGGACATGACCACTGTGTTTCCCTGGAATTTTTCCCTTTTTTTTTTTTTTTTTTTTTTTTTCTTTTTCCCAGCTTTATTATTCCAAATCAACTTCTCAGCTCTAAAAACAGAGGGGAAGAAGCATTAAATGTGCTACTGTACCCATCACAAAGCACTGTGACGTACATAAGGCCATCTGGTAACACTGCAACAGGCTACAAAACAGGTTGGAAAAGGGAATTTCAGGATCTTTTTCAAAGCTACAAAGAATAAATCTCAACCCTGTTCACAGAGAATGAAACGTTTCAAAAGTATATTTTATACAGAAAAAAAAAAACAAAACTCTGTGCAACTGAACAACAGCACAATAACAACAGAAAAATAAAAAGTCAACACAATTCTAGGAAGCGGTTTCAAAGCTTGGAGGGGTTAGGACATGCTAGGGAAAAATAAAAATACAGCCCCAAAACTCATCCCAGGGAGCTGAGAGCAAAGCCAGGGATTGGAAAATTGGAGCCCCCCACCCCAGCACACAGCACACTCCAGGATCCATGCACAGGCCACCCTCAGAGCCTTCCTGTGTTCCAAAAAACACAGAAAAATCACCCTAAAGGAAAGGGAAAAAATCAAAATAAACAACAACAGCTTCCAGTTATTGGTACAGCACTGCTGAAACGGGGCTGGGATCAGCTGCAGCCTCTCCTCACTCAGATCCCTGATTTCCAAAGGCTCAGGATTCTCCTGTTCCACCCCTGCTTTGAGATGAAAACCTCCTCCAACACAAGCTCAGCAGAGAAATCTTTGAAATCAAGCCCAAACTTTTGTTCCATGCACACAAAACTACTCAAAAACACATTTAAGACATTTTTTTTTTTACAGGAGATGTGGCAACCAACAATGTCAAAAATAAACCTTTGGCAACTCACGAGTGCACGCTGGGGCAGGATTGATTTGAGTGCTAAAAGAGAAGAAAAAACCCCAAAAAAACCTCCCAAGGGAGTGCAAAGTATTTCAAAGTGGCCACTGCAGAGTGCAGAATCTGCTCAGAGGGAGGATGGGGATATTTATATGGATTTTTGGGAACACATCCTGCCAGGCATGACCCACGTGTGCTCCAGGCAGACTTAAACACTGAGGAATCTAAAAAAAAAATACAATTTTTCAGCTCTGAGTGTGCTTCTCATCAGGGCCTGGAAGAGCTCCACAAGCAAAATCTGCTGCTTTCTTTGGGAGGTGGAAACAAAATTCATTTTTTGCCAGTTTTTAGAGTGGTTTTGTTCCAAAATAATTTATAGGAAGCAGATATTTTGTTGTTCCAACAGGGAAATGTTGGAATATCCAGGGAGAAACAGGGCCTTGCCCACCTGTGGTCAGACAGAAAAACAACCTGCAGGGAACACATTCTCCTGATTCCTGCTTGTTCCTGGCACAAAGGCAGGAATAAAATCCCTCAGTCCGGGATTTACTGACACCAAACCCAAAATTTCACCTTTCTGCCCCAAGCCATTCAGGGAATCCCGACAGGAATGGGCAGCACTGCCCTTGTGGCTCCTCTGTTTTGTCCTCCTGACTAAAATCAGGCTCTGCAGGAAGATTTGGTTCCATTCCCAAGGATTTCTCTCTGTCCAGAGCCACCTCTCCATTCCCCAGTCACTCCCAGTGAATTCTGTGCCCCAAAAAAGCCTCAGGAATGAACAGGGGGACAACACAGGCACACAGCTGGATGGGAATGGGGGTGCTGGAGTGTCTAAAAATTGAATTAAATTGATTTAAATCCCTCCAAGACACAAAAAACCTGCCCAGCCCAGCGAAGTTGGAGCAGCTGCCAAAACCACCTTCCCAAACCAGATGTGCACTCCAGGAATGCACAGGACAACGCACACAGCTGGATGGGGGAACTAAAAATTGATTGAAATTGATTTAAATCCCCCCAAGACACAAAAAACCTGCCCAGCCCAGGGAAGCTGGAGCAGCTGCTGCTGGATGTGTGCTGATTCCCAGGATTCTGGCCTCCCAGAATTCCTGCTGGAGAAGGATTCACCCCCAGATGAATTCCAGATCTCGCACACAACTGCTGTGTCTCCCTAGATTTTTCTCCCTTTTTAATTTTTTTCCAGCTTTATTATTCCAAATCAACTTCTCAGCTCTAAAACCAGAGGGGAATAAGCATTCCCCAAGGCAAAGGGACATAAAACTTTTGGGATCAATTGCATTTGATCCCAAAATCCTCCTCTGCCAGCTCTGATTCCAGCAGCTCCAACCTGTCCCACTCCCCTGGATCTGCTCACACTCAACAACCACTGCTAATTGCTGCTTAATTAACTCCAAATCAACCCACAAACCTCTGTTTAGGCAGCACCACCCTCATCAAACACCCTGGAGAGCTCCTGAGTGAATATTCAAGAATTTTGAGCTCCTCTCAGGGGCTGCTTGCAACACCCCACTCTGATTTTGAAGACAAAACCACCCCATCCCACCAGCTCAGAGGCCAAAAGGTCTCTTATTTTCTTTTTTTCCCCCCCATTTCTACTCTTCCAGATCCAGATTCTATTCCTCACAGACCTGAGGAAGGAAACAAACCAAAACAGTCACCCACAACTCAAAAGTTTCTAAGTTCCTGTGGATTTTAACGTTCCCTGACCCTCTGCTGAGGTTGATTTCCAGAGCTGACACTGAGATGGACTGGAAACAAATCTGCCTTAAAAATGGGAGAGGTTCAACTGCACAGCACATCAAAAACTGCCAGAAAACAGGAGCAAAACAAGGTAAATAAAGGAATGAACCCACAAGAGAGGGGCAGAGCTGATCTCAGTGGGAGGAAAAGCTCCAGGAGGGGAGCAGAGCCCTTCACTCCCAGCCAGCCCAGCTGGAACCCACAGGAATCCCCAGGGATGCAGCTCCCTGGGCTGGGGGAAGCTGGAGAAGGGAGATCTGCACCTCAGCAGCTTCACTGCCCTCAGAATCAGCATCAAAAACCCAAAGTGTTCCATTTGTGAGATAGCTGAGGTCTGAAAATGCATCAGAGGGGGAAATGATCCCAACCAAAGCCCTTCTGCTCTCACACAGCACTCCATCACCCCAAAGATTCCATGGGTGTGAAGCCTGGGGATGCTCCAAGTGAAAACAAGGAATTGTCCAACTCCAGGGACTCTATCCCTTCCTATTTATCCCTTCCTATTGCAAAACAGAGCTTGAATGTGCCAAAATCTGGGCACAGGAATTGCATCCCCTGCTGAGGACAGATCTGAAAGAAAGCTCTAAACCTAAAGCTGCTGCTAAAAAAAACCCAAAATTCCTCCATCACCCTCTTTTTACCAGGAAAGACAGAACACCAAGGTCTCTATAACCATGGGCCATTTTTCTGCCTCCATGAGCTGCTCCTGCCAGGAACTCTGAAAATCCAGGATCCCAAAGAGAGCCAGGCAGCAGCAGCAGCTCCCCATGGAAAAATAAACCAAAAAAATAAAAAGATTTCCAGAAGCAAGACACGAGTTCTGCTTCCAGGATTCCCTAAATCCTAGAGAATTAGAATTTTTGGGTTTCATGGAAGGTGTGACCAACAGTAGGGGTTTATTCCCACCTCCAGAGGCTGGGGAGGATGCTGGGTTCTTGTCTGTCTTCCACCAAACTCTTTTGTTCTACCAAAATGCTTTGACCTTCCACAAAACCCAAGCCAGCCAGGAACAAACTGATGCAAAAATTACCAAGCATTCCACAAAACCAAAGCTACTCCAGCAACAGGAACCTAAGAAAAAAAAAAGCTTCTGTAATGCTGCATTTTAAATTTTTTTTCCTTTTTTTTTTTTTTTTTTAAATCACCACGGTACAGAACTAAACCAGAATCTACTCTAACCCCACCTGCCTTAGGCTAAATTAAAAACAAGTTGTGAGGAGCTGCACAAACTGCTCCTGAAGTGACCTAAAGAACCAGCAGCTGACAGAGCTGAGCCCCCAGGGAGGCTCTGTCAGGAATGTGACCCAGGAAAAGCTGGCAGCTCCCTGTCAGTGCATGGGCCTGAAGAGGCAGCACATGAACAGGGAAATATTCCCTTCAGTGACCTGAAAATTGCAGTGGAGAAAAGGCAGCAAAAGCTGCTCCTCTCCCACCTCCTCTCCCTTTCCCATCAGCTTTCCCAGCCGCTTCCTGAGCTTCTCATCCTGTCCACATTGATTTTTTTTCCTGCCTCATTTTTATTTTTTCGTGTTTTACCTGGTGGAAACTTTCCCATCCAGGCTGCATTTCCACAGGAAAAGCTGGATCTCTGTGGCACAGCAATTTTGGGAAGCTTCTTGGAGAGGAGCAGGAGCCCACAAATAACATTTTTTGGGCTTGACCCTCTGCCCAAAGCCATAAAAGCTCACAAAGAATTAAGTGCACAAATTTTCAACAGCTAAACTTGGCTTTTCTCCACAGGGGAACAAGGGGGAAGGGAAGCAATTAAATTGCAAGTTTTTAGTGCTCATTCATGAATTTTCAATTCGAATCCCAGCCTGCAAATGTCAAAAGTCCAAGTATTTGGTAGGCATAAAATTGGCCAACCTGAACCAACCAAAGTGCTGCTATTTATACAAACTCTAGAAATTTCCCAGAGCAGGCTCCAAACATGCAAACCAAAAAAAAAAATTCCAGATGCCTGCTCTTCATGATCACCTGCAGCTTCGCTTCTGCGTTTCAAAAATAAAAATAAAATTAAAAAAAAAGGTCAATATTGCACATTTTAAGAGCTGCTGGCGCAGGAATTTCCTCCTGCATCTGCTGATGTCTAAATGTGAAGCATTTTTTGCCTCTGACAGGAGCCAACAGGAAGACAGGTCACTCCATGAGCTCACTCCCTGCTTCTCCACCTGAAAAAGGAGTATTTTTTTCTCCCACTTTTCCCCTGGGCAGGTGAACAATGCCCAAAAAAAGCGACTCTGTTCCACCCACCTGTCCCAGGTGTCACGTCAGGAACACACCAAAGTGGTTTTTCTGTATCTCAATGTCAGGAGATAGAAAGGGAACATCACTGCAGGAAAAGAAAAGTCCTGGGTGTTGTGGCTTTAAAGGGAATTCCAAGCCTGCAAAAGTGGCAGAAGGAAAGAAAAAAAAAAACCTCTGGAAAAGTTTGAGTTCACCACTTATCCATGGAATAGGTGCAGTATTTACAGCAAACTCTGTCAGCTCCTCGTGCTGGAGAGGAGAAAATCTTCCTCTGCTCGTGGCAGCTCAGAGGATGGTGAAGGAAAGAGATGTCTCCATCTGTTTTCTGGGAATATTTGATGGGGAAGATCCTCTGACACGCCCAACTCAAAGCCAGAAGTTGCTGCCTGACATCAGATGCCCCACATTGGAAGGACACAGACCCACAGCCCAACACTCCCAGGCTGAGGGGCTGAGAGAGGAGCAGCTCTCATTTTTTCACCCCTCAGTTTTCTTAAAAGGCCTCCTGAGGTGTAAAAATCCACCTAGAAATTCCATCTCACCTCCAATGGCTCTGGGAAACAATCCTGCATCATTAATCCAGGACACCAAGGAGGTGAAAGCAGATTTACCACGAGCTTAAACCCCATGGAATCCCTCAACCTGGTTTGGGGTCAGTGCTCCCTCCAAAAAAAAAACCCAAAATCAACAGCTCCACTGCAGAACTTGGGATAAGAGCTGGCAAAAGAGGAGCTTTTCCACGTGGGGAAAAGCAGGAAGCTTTTCCAGAACTGTGGGGAAAGAAGAGCAACACTACTGCTGGGATGTTGCTGTTCTCACTCACACTGCTGGGCTCTGGAATTGCAGGTCAGGCAGCAACTTCCCTGGTAAAAACCCAGGGAAAATCCCCCCAAAAACCCAGGGAAAATCCCCCCAAAAACCCAGGGGAAATCCCCCCAAAACCCAGGGGAAATCCCCCAAAACTGCAGGGAAAATCCTCCCATCCTGCTGATCCAGCAGGGAGCTCCCAGGCTGTGGCACAAGAAATGTTTGGACTCCAGCATTCAAACTCTGTGAGAAGTGAAAGGAGCTCATCCCAACCATTCCTGGGAAGGGAAGCATCCCAAATCCAGCCCCACCTCTTCTCCCAGGGGCTCCACAGAAGTGTCCTGGACATAAACTTGGAATAAATCCTTGAAAAAAAAATTTCTCCCTGCAAAAAACAAAACAAAAAGAAAAAAAAAATGACACAAGGGCAGCAGAAAAGCCCCAGTGCTTTTGTTGCTGCACAAGTTGTGGTGCCCCAGGGCACAGCTGGCAGCACACACCCCATTCCCAAGTTTTTCCTGGAATGCCAGCTTCCATCAGGATTCAGGGTTCTCCTTGCTGAGCACAGGAAGCAGAAGAACAGAGTTTTGTTTGTCTGTTTTTTCCAAGAGTCACAGAGAAAAGCCTCCTCTGGTGCTGTTTGCTGCAGTCAGTGCAGACTCAGTTGCTGCAACACCACCCAAAATTCCTTTTGGACATGGGGAAAAAACCTTCCAAACAGAGGAGGAGAAGAGACTGGAGCTGCAGCTCCTATTAAGGCGTTTGCATATACATTCCCAACCTGGGTTCTTCCAAAAAAAGGGGGAATTTTTGCACAAAAAAAGGCTTTTTTTTTTTTTTTTTTTTTTGATTCAGGAATGGCAACAACTCCAACTGTTGAGAATCTCTGTGGAATTACAAACTGCTTGTTTTAAAAAAAGGTGGTTGAAGGGAAGTGTCCCATCTCTGCCTTGCCCACTGTGTCCTTCTGCAGGAATTCCATGTGCTATGTCTTCTGCAGATCCGGGGAAAAGGGCCCAGGGGTGGAGGGTCCATCCAGTCCAGAGAGTGTAAATGGGCCATGACTGTTCAGCACGGATGGAAACTAAGAGATAAAACAAGAATCAGTAAAAAAAAAACACTTTAATTCAATGTTCTTCCCACATCTGTGCACAAAGAAGGGGAAAAAAAACTGAAATGCAACAACACAAAAAAGCAAAACCACCCCAGATTTCAAGGATGCTCTTGGCTTCTCACTTTTAATTTATTTTTTAATGCCAAGCAGTGTCACGGTGACCCCTGAGCTGAGCACTGCCCCATATCCTCATTAAAATGTGACTTTAATCCAGGTTCTGAGGAAAACTGGGTCTAAATTGCCCCTCAGTTAATTATCAGCTGTTTCCAGGCTGAAATATCCAGTGTCATTTCAGCCCTCCTTGTTTATTCCCTGTGCTCATGGTACAGATGAGGAACTTCCTTCATCTCCATGGAGATGACAGATCCCAACCCAGAAGATTTCATTAAATTCTTTAATTTCAAAGAAATTAAATAAAAAAAAATTAAATTGATTAAATTCTACCCTTTGCCTCAGCAAATTCAGGCAGCAAACGTGGTAATTCCAGTGCCAGAGTGGAAGTGTGAGGAAAAAACATGAGAATTACAACTAAAGGAGGGGTTTTTTCTCAAATATAGTGGATTTTTTCCTATATAGTAAAAAATACCCTGGCCTTGGACACTTCCAGGGATCCAGGAGCAGCCACAGCTTCTCTGGACAACTGTTCCAGGGCCTCTCCACCCTCACAGGGCAGAATTTTATGGATTTCTTCCATAAAAATCATCAAAAACTTTTCCACACATCACCACAGAGATCAAACACACACTACATTTCCTCATTAGTTTTGAGATTAATTACTATTTTTCACCAGAAATGATTGGAGCAATCAATAGCGTGGAAAATTTCTAAAACTCAGGAAAATCCCAACCAAAAAAAGTTACAGGGAGGAAATTTTTTACAGGAAGAAGAGACCTAAAAATGAACAGTCATCTATCTCTAAAGCAGCCTGTGCTGCAGTTAATTCCAACCATTCCTAAAACACCAACATTTACAATATCCTGAAATAAAACCAGGTAAAAAAAATAAAACTGATGCCCTCAGAAGCTACAACAGCGGGGAAACCAACAGCTCCTGTTTTATTTCTGCTGCAAATATTGGGAATAAGTGATTCCTGCAGGTGTGCTGGGGAAGGGACTGGGAATCCCTGGAGAATGGGGAAGGGACTGGGAATCCTGGAGAGTGGGGAAGGGACTGGGAATCCCTGGAGAATGGGGAAGGGACTGGGAATCCCTGGAGAATGGGGACTCACCTGGAAGAGGGTGTTAGCACCTTGCAGGCGGGCAGGGCTGAGAGGAGCCACGGGGCTCAGCGTGCTCCAGAAGTGGATGCTGGAGAGCAGAGGGCTGGGGGTCAGCAGGATGGGAGTCTGAAAAGGCACGAGAAGCAGCTGTCAGACACTTTCCCATGGAATTCCAGATTTTCATGTGGAATGCCAGCCTTTCCCCATGGAATTCCAGCTTTTCCAGCCTTTACTGTGGAATTCCAGCAGAGAAATTCCAGCCTTTACCCTGAAATTTCAGCCTTTCCCACGGAATTCCAGCCTTTCCCCCTTGGAATTCCAGCCTTCCCACAGAATTCCAGCCCTTCCCCATGGAATTCCAGCTTTTCCAGCCTTTACTGTGGAATTCCAGCAGGGAAATGCCAGCTTTTCCCATGGAATTCCAGCCTTTCCCACAGAAATCCAGCCTTTCCCATGGAATTCCAGCAGGGAAATGCCAGCTTTTCCCATGGAAATCCAGCCTTTCCCCATGGAATTTCAGCCCTTCCCCACGGAATCCCCAGCCTTTTCTGCGGAATTCCAGGAAGGAAATTCCAGCCTTTCCCACAGAATTCCAGCATTCCCCATGGAATTCCAGCCTTTCCCCTGGAATCCCAGCAGGGAAATTCCAGCTTTTCCCACAGAATTCCAGCCACAACACCCCCTCAGTTGCCAGAACTCCCCTCTCCTCCTTCCTCCTCCTCCTCCCTGCCAGCCCCATCCAGCCCTCTCTCCCTCCCTTCCCTGCCTGAGCAATCCAACCCTTTTTTTATTCCCAAATCCTGCTGGAAGCCACAGCAGAGCAGCTCCTCCTCCAATCCAGCCCTCTGGAAAAGCGGGATACTGGATTTCAAAAGGAAAAATCCAGTGGGCACAAGCCTGCTCCTGGTGCCACTGACAATGCCAGCAACGACAAAAGGAGTTTCCATCCAGCTCCTGAATATTCCAGGTTCACCAGCCAAGCACTTCCCAGGGTGCCAAAAGAACAATTCCACTTGGATTTTGTTTTTTTTTACTTCTCCCCTGTCTTCAGCCACTTCAGTTTTCAACCAGCAGCTTCCCCATGGTTTCATTCTAATTCCAATTTATTGCAGGGGAGAGATCACACAGATACAGAATGATTTAACAGCCCTGCTGGATTCAGTTCCCTTCCAAGTTTTCCATGAGACATGAAAGCTTTCCTTTCCCACACAAAGATAACAACCAAATTAAGCAGCTGCTCTTATTGCTGCTTGCTCACAAGACTTTGGCTTTAGCTAAACGCTACTAACCGAGTAAAAAAAGCTCAGCAAACACCTCTGTGGGTCTGGTTTTGAAGGAATTTCAGGCCCAGCTGAAGGATTTAGGAATAATTCAGTATTCCCCTGGCAATGTTTACAAAGATCCTGCTGGAGCTGGTTTGGGTTTTGCCTCCACATGCCAGCCCTGTGTGCATGCCCAGCACCTGGGCACACTTTGGGGTGAATTAACACCAAATTTGTGTTTGACTAAAAAAAAAAACAAAACAAAACAAGTAGGGAGTGACATCCTGAGTTTCAAATCTCTGCATACAATGAACTACTCACTTCCCACTTGCTGTTTTCAAGCATAACATCACCACTATTGTTAGTTTAAACAAAAAAAAAAAAGAAACCAGGAAGGGAATTTAAAGGGGATTTGGTCACCTGAGAGAAAAGTGCTGGAGTAAGAGAAGCAGTTGGCAGAGAAGGACTCAGGATGCCCAGAGGACTGGGATCACTGCCTGTGATGACCAGAGTGGGAGCCAGCTCCAGCCCTTTGGGTTTTTTCGATCTGGAGAGGTGATTTGCAAATTCCTTCTCCAGCCCAGCTGAATCCTGCTGCTCTTTGGGCTCTGGGGATTGGTGCTGGAGGCTCTGGGCCTGCTCCAGCTGCTGGGAAGCCACAGATTCGATGTCCGTGTCAATGTCCAGGTCGGGGTTGGAGCTCAGGGGCGGCGAGGGGGGCGTGGAGGGCACCTGCAGGGTGGGGGAAACTGAGGAGATGGGGGGAGTCGGGGTGAAGCTGGCGCTCAGGTTTGGCAAAGGTGCTGGAGGAGCTTCAGGGACGCTCAGCTTGGGCAGGACCAGCGTCTCCAGGGTCTGCAGAGTCTCCTCAGAGCCCAGGGGAAGCGAGGAGGACACGGCGGGGGTGGCAGGAGCCGTGGAGGTGACAGCCACTGCTGAAGTGGTGGAGACCAGAGGGGCAGAGGGAGGCTTTTTGGAGGGCATGGTGACAAACTTGATGACAGAAGGGGTGGGGTCCTGAGGTTTCTTCTCCGTCAGCTTCTCGGCAGGGTTCTCAATCTTGATGGACCTGAAGAGCTTCACGCTGGAGGAGTTGAGGGAGTTGAGGGTGAAGGAGGAGTACAGGCCTGAGTGGATGTAGTCATTACGGCTGGAGGACTTAGCACAGGACTGGGATTTCTCCTTGCCACAGTTTTCCACGTCCTTGGGGGTGCTGGTGACCTCCCCAAAGCCGGGCATTTCGGGGTCCCCCTCGATCCGGCCCACCACGAGGGGATCCATGTTCAGGATCTCTGGGTACGACACGAATTTGTACACGAACTTCTTCCCGTTCACCTTCTTAATGATATTCTGGGGGGAAGAAGACAAAGTATATTTAGACCTTTCTTCAGATTAATTTTCTTCCTACAAACACTGCCTAAAATAGGCAGAGGAATTAAAGTCTGTAATCTTTCAGCCAAAAAAAAAAAAAAAGAATGTTTCTTCTTTTCCTGTTTTAAAAACACCCTGCGTGTTCCAGTTCTGCTCTCGGAGCTGGCAGACAAAACACTGCAACAGGTGAGCTTAACCTGACATTAAACATACTAAAAACTGCCAAGAAATCCTGTTTAACATCAAAAAATGCCCATTACCCCCAGCAAGGATCACTCAGCTGGGAACACTATGGGTAATTTAACAGAAGAACTTGCTGAAGGGTTTCTCCAGGACTGCAGAATTGAGAGCTTGCACTTCAAATCAAACCACCTTTATTCTTAACAAGATGATAATAAAGGAAAATAAGCAGCTGAACTCGTCAGCAGAATGCAGGCTAATCAGTTATTTCAATACCACAGAACAGCATCTGTCAAACTTGTTTTGCTCCTCAGCGAAATGCCACACACACTTTGGACTTGGAATTATCCTTATTTATCATCCCCTGATTGTTGCTGAGATCTCTCAGCACCGAGGCAGATTTGTGGCACCCAGTAATGAACAGCAGCACCTCCCACCTGCTCCAGGCTGAGGCTCCTCAGAAACTGGGGGTTATTTTTATCTGCTCCACTCACACACGAGCAGCCGTGGGATAAAGGGAAACAAAGGTGAGACTCGAAGATGTTGGATAAACAAAAGCTTCTTACTCTGCTGAGCTGAAAACAATGGTCAAAGTCAAGGTGAAATTCTGAATGCACAGAGAAAATAAAAATACTTAGTGATGAAAAATGTTTATTTTGAAAGAAATAAACGTAAAGAGAAAAAAGATCTGGAAGTGGTGCAATATTCACGCTCTCCATCATCATCCTCACTCTCTGTGCTTTACCTGGATTTTAACCCTTGCAAGGGTGTTTATTTTTGGAAGGGGGATAAGGATCCAAAGGCAAATTTGTATTAGCAAAAACACCAAGCCACCACTTTGCACCAAGCCACCAGAACCTCCCAAAACAACCGGCGAGGAGGAAACAGCGCAGCGATAAACGAAATGAAAAACCAACCCAACACCTTTAAACAAAGCAGCCCAACTTCCTTCAACCTGGCAGAGGCACAGCAGTGCCACCCCTCCCCTGGAGGAGGAGGAAACAAATCTCCTTAGCTAAGAGGGATAAGGATTGGAGCAGGATTTCCACCCTACCTTCACGTAGTAGTAGCGCAGCGCCCGGCTGAGTTTATCATAGTTCATGCTGGGCTTGTTCTTGCGGATCCCCCAGAGCCTGGCCACCTCCTCTGCCTGCAGCAGCTTGAATTCCCCGTCGTTGGAGGTCCAGCAGATGATGTTCTTGTTCTGGGGCTCTTGGAGCAGCTGGAGGAGGAACTGCCACAGGGTGATGGCACTGTCCATAGCAGAGAGCTGCAATTCACAAAGGCAGGTTAAGCCCGGAGCATTTCCCTTCTCTCTCCCTACAAGGTGGGGGGAAATGGAGCAGGGATTGTTATTTCCAAAGCCAGCAAGAGTAAAAAATTATTAGTCACCAGTCGTGAAAGATGTTCCCTGCAGAACTGAGGGGCTGAGTGCCAACTCTGCCGTCTCCTCCCACATGTCAGTACTTTTCACATGGGTTATATTTAGCCTCATTTAACTAAATCAGGTCACTTTGGGTAAGTTGCAGTGAGTCACTACCCCAAAAAAAATGTTTCCAAGTTGTTCCATGTTCACCCACTCTGGCTTGTGCTGCTCTGTGAGAAAGAGCTCAGGTACACCCAGGTAGGGATCAAACCACCCCGTCACCTCCTCCTTCCCCTCCTGCTCCCACCTCAGAGGGAGCACAGCACAACCAGGAACTGCAAAGCTCCAGGAAGATGCCAGAGCCAAAACAACACAATTTCCCCCTCAGTTTCCATTCCAGCCTCTCAATCACACCAATGTCCCTTCAAATCTTTGTTTTCCAGGTATCACCCCTGTTTTTTTTAATGAGAGTAAACACAAAACTAAATTACAACTATTGCAAACACTGCCTGTGCTCAGTTCTTAATTCCTGTCATGTCTTACCTACGTCAATGATTTAGGCTGGGGCTTTCTAGGACTGATATCTGCCAGTTGATTCCTGCTCTGAAGCTGATGAGGCATAAATTCATCAAGGACAGACCAGGCAGATAACATTTTACCTCGACCATTTCTGACTACACCAAACAGTATTTCCACAAATATTTTTCAGCACAACACTCATCATTCTGGATAAGATACAGTGTGAATTAAACCAGACAAAATATTAATTCAGCCAGTCCTATAGATTCTCTTAGTCCAGAACTGTTCAATTAACACAGCTTAAACTTCTTCCTGTGAAATAAAAACAGAGGAAAAATGCTCTGGGATAGTGAATAACACTGGATATACATAAGCACTACATTTTTCCCCCTAGGAAATGGGATCCAGGGATTCCATCTGGGTGAGTTTGATATTCAAACACTAATCCCAAGCTCCAAACCAAAAGCACCAAGCCCAGCCTCGGGGAGCAGGAGCCAGGCTGGTGTTGGGTGATGTCCCTGTGTACCCAGGCTCAGCCTGCCCTGCCAGCTCATCCTTGCTCCCAAAGCCTTTTATTCCAATCTCATTAGTGCCCAGCACTTAGCCAGCCCTATATAAGGAAGGGAACTGTGTCCAGGGGAGAGGCTGAGCACTCAGGGAGCCCTGGGACAGGATTAGAGCTGACAGTTCACACGGGGCTCTGGGGGAAACGAGGTGCCCCCAGGCCATGGCACCTTTTTGGGCACAGCCCGTGGCATTTCAGCCCTTCTGCAGAATCCCTGCCTCATGGCACACGGGCTGATGTGACATTGATCCAGGCAGGTAAATTGCTGCAATTACATGGAACAATCTCAAAGTGAAGGACACCCACACCCCCTCGTTAGGCTGGCCCGAGGTGCTTTCCCTGTTAATTACTGCACACGTACAGCTCCCTGCTTGCCCAAATTAATTGCTCGGCACTCGAAGAAACTGGAGGCTGCGCTTCCAGACTCTTCCCACACTGCTGTGTGCTGTGCCAGCTGATCCATACAGGATTTAGGGACCAGAAAAACACTTTTAAACCCTTCCAGGACCGCCTGGTGCTGCCATTTACCCCCAGCATCCCAGGCTGGGAACACCAGGGCCGTGCCTCGTTCTCCAGGGGGATGATGCAGCCACACGTGGTGCAGAGCACGAGGACTTGGTTCTGCCACCCAGCAGAGCTGTCAGGAGCACGGAGATGTGCTAAGAGAGAGCAGGCAAACGAAGCTGAGTGATTTATTCCCACGCTGCGTTTATCTCCAGCACTCTGGGAGCACTGCACCAAACTGATGCAACGTGGAAATCAGATTAGCAACAGGATTTCACAGTGGCAAAGGATTTTTTTTTTTTTTGTTTGTTTTTCCCCACCCCTCCTGCTAAAAATCCACGCAGCTTTCATCCCAGAACTGAACTGGTGTTATTTCATGGGGCTGCTTCCCTTGAGGAAGTTGCACCTTGCTGTTAATTCCAAGCTGACCCAAGCCAAGCATTGCTGCCCAGGTCACAGCTGGTCTGGAATCCAGCTGGAGAAGCACAGAGCAGCACAAAGTTCTGTAAAACAGCACACAAAGAGTGGCCAAAATGATGGAAAATACTAGATATTGAAAAAACAAACAGAAAAAAGAAACCCAACACCTTTCCCAGAGATGAGCTAAGCCGCTCTGAGGAGCGTTTACCAAAGTTAAAGAGTTCACGCTGCTCAAATCCTGCATTTTCCAGCTGGAAGGATCCTCAGCCAGGGGCAGAGTTACAGACTGTACTGGAGAGCAATTCTGATCAAGTTCCTCCTGATGTTTCTGGCATTTGCAGCTCCAGGCGTGTCACGATTCTGTCCATCACTCAGAGGACACATGGCACATCCCCAGCTTGGAAAAGTCTTCTCTAAGAAACATTAAAAGGGTGGAGAGGCCCCACTGATCCCCTGGCTGTCACTGGACAGGAGCAGAGAGTATTCTGGAATTGTTCATGGATGGGTTTTACTGCATAAAACAGAATGAATATTTCTCTTTATTAAATATTCACTGCATTCATCTCCAGGGAATGATGGAGATCCTGCAGTGGAACCTCATGGAAACTTCAAAGAAATGGGGAAGGTGGAGTTTTTCTGGAGGTTCTATCCACAGGGACAGCCAGAAAACAACCTTGGTCAAAGCAATGGGATCACAGGTGGATTTTGCCCCTTCAGAGTCCAGCAGAGAGCTGTCACCTGGGAAAGTCCAATGTGTATGAGGAGACAATGTTGTGTCTCATTTAAGTCCAATGTGTATGAGGAGACAATGTTGTGTCTCATTTAACTTTAGTACCAAACTAGAAAAATACATAAAAAAAACTCTTGTTTCTCCAGGAAAAAAGCAGAATATAAAAAAAAAACAAAAAACCATCACACAAGATGTAAAATGAAAACCAGCACGGGTGAGCTGAGCACCACCAAACGTGAGGAAAAGGTTTTGTCTCCTCCAGCAGCCAGGGCAGGAGGCAGCTGCTGCCTCTCCTGAGCCTCCCCTGGGCACCAACAGGGATGAGAAGTGGCTCAAGAACCCCCTGCCCCACATGACTGAGGGTGAAACGTTCTCTCAGTTTGTAAACAGCATTTCAACTTTTTGCATTTCCTCAAAAGGCCCCACTCTTCTCCTCTCACAGCTCTCCAGCAGCACAAAAACCCCTCCTAAACCCAACTGCTAAACCCAGCTGCTCCTCCAGGACGAGCACACCAATAATTACAAACACCCCGTTGCAAACCATCCTTTTGTGAAGCTGCTTTTCCCTCCTAAGAGCCCGTGGAGAAAGGAAAAGTGAAAAGGGAATGAAGCTGAGAGCCTTTCCCTTCCTGCACCATGTGAGCAGGAGGAAAAAATAGTTGCTAGAGGCAGAGGGCAGCTCTGCTTTGTAATGAGGGAGCTAAAATAGAGCACTATTATTGTCTTGAGATCTTCTCCGACGCCTACGGGTGACCCTGGGAGCTCAGCAGGAGCTGCCAGGGTTTGGCACAGAGCTCCCAAAAAACCTGAGCCTCCCCTGCTGCTGCAGCTCTGCTGGAGGCCTGGCCTTTGCAGGAGTTTATCCAGAAAAACCAGGATTTGGGATTTGTCTCTTCCCCTCTGTGGGATTACAGGGCCTGGAGGTTTGGCTTTTCCTGGTAATGTGAGGAAGTGGCACAAAAAATCCAAATATTCACTCTCTGTATGCCCTGGGAAGGGAGTAAAGGCAGGATTAGGGGGTTAGGCCAGTCCTAACCCCCTCCTTCGAGGTCTTCAGGCAGACTTCCTGTGCTTTGACTCAACACCAAATAATCTCCAATAATCTTTCACCTCCATTTGTTGCAGCAGCCTCTGCTAAAGCATCTGCAGCCTGATGACTTCTGCAGATGGGCTGAATAAAAAAAATCCTTGTCAGGCCCCCAGGCAGGAAGAAAAGCCCAGAGGAAAGGAAAGGAAAGGATGTCCCAGGCAATGAGCAAAACCATCCCCAGCACGGCTGAGCTGGCAGGGTGACAGCTGGGCCAGTGTCACAGCCAGGGGACAGCCCCAAAAAGGGCCCTGGGAGACACAGAAAGGGCTTCTAGCCCCAAAGTAAAAACTGGAATAAAGGCAGCAACAGGTCTGGGGAAGCTCGTGGTGCAGGTGAGAAAATCAAGGCTTAGATTCCAGGAAATTATAGGAAAATACAGCAAAAATCCAGGAAAACATCCAGGGAAAAAAATCCAGAAAAAAATATCCAAGGGGGTTAAAAATCCAGGAGGAAAAAAAAAAAATCCAGGGGGGAAAAAATTCCTGGGGGAAAAAATCCAATGTAAAAAAATATCCAAGGGGGAAAAAAAAATCCAGGAAAAATCCAGGAAAAATCCAGGAAAAATCCAGGAAAAATCCAGGAAAAATCCAGGAGAGCAGAGCTTGCTGTGCAGCCCTTCCCAAAGGCATGCCAGGGATTTTCAGCACTTTGGGAAGGGCACGGTGTGCGAGCAGCAGGAATTCTGCAGCCCATCATTCTTGTGCAATATTGCTGTGGACACGAGGCCTTGGTGGCTGCTCCAGGAAAACAAACAGAGGTGGATGAAGGAGAATTTTGGAGGTCACAGGCTCAAATCCACATTGAAAAACCTCAAAACCTGAGCAGGATTTTCCCCCCCTTCTTTGTTAAATTAATAAATGAATAAATAAATCATCCCCATCCTTTTTGTTGTGGGACATGGTTGATGAAGTGTCCAATTAAAAGGGATATCAAAATAAAACCAAGCAACAGTTTTATCCATTCCTAATAAACCATTCCTAAAAGCTTTTCCAGCTCCCAGGGCTGTGACTCACCTGAATTGGTACTTTTAGGATTTTATCAATTTTAATTAATTTCAGAAAGAGCCTGCTGTCAAAAAAAAACCCCAAAAAACCCCACAAACCTACTGACCAAAACCTGATGTGAATTGAGTCCTTTTCCAGGTGAAATGCCAGGTAAAAGCCTCTTACATGTGTAAAATAAAGGAATTAAACAAGGAATTCAAACTAGACACGCAGAATTCTACACTCCCTTAAAAAATCCCAACCCCTGGAAGCTTTCCAAGTAGTAATCCAATCAAACCATCTCTAATAACTAACAAAAATCAAGGAAAAATAAGGAAAAAGCAGCCCAACCTCTAATAAATTCTTGTTTTCCCCTTGCCTCTGGCATTCCCTGCACTGTTGCTCCCAACCCAGGCAGGAAAATCAGATTATTGTGAAGGAGAAGCCGTGGTTATCAAGGCAGGAAGTTCCTTGGAAGGAAATGCTGAAGGATGTCCTCATGATAAGAGCTGCTCCAGAGTTTTCATTGCCTAATCCCACTCCAAGCCTCTCTTTTATTTTTTTTTTTTAAACTCAAAACAAATGTTGCAATAAATTTTGTCTCGTTGGCTCAAAAATTGAGCCGCTTGAAACGAAATTTAGGTGTTTTAACAAAAATTTGGGGGGTTAGGAACCAACTGTTTCAGCTTCTAAATCCTGAGAAAGAAATATTTCTTTTTTTTTTGTATTTTCCAGTTTCTCCTCAGTGTTTTCTGGCCTTTCTGAATTGGCCAAGATCAGGAACAAGCCATGAAGGACAACAATGACATCAGGATTTCCATGGGACTCTGCTGCAGACTCAGGTTGGCAGCAGAGGAGCCAAGCAGATTTCTGGGGGTATTTTAATCCTGACACAGAGACAAAAGGGGCCCTTTTTGTTATCAAACATGCTTCTGATTATCACACCTGACTCTTAATATTCAACCTGACGGAAAACAGGGGGAAAAGGGGATTTTTAGAGCCTATTTTGTGCAATTCCTGCAGCTGCTGCAATCCCTCTGCTCCTCCACCCCTGCCTGGGCACGACTGACACCCCATCACTGATTATGGACAGCCCAAATTTCCCTGATTTTCCACACCTGGATCAGCATTATTCCTCTCCTAACTCTTTTTTTTTTTTGGGATATAAGAGCCCAGGGAAGGTTTAGGACACACAGAGGGGACGAGAAACTTCAAAACCAAAAAGCCTTTGATGGGTTTGTGACCCTGCTGGGATTGTTCCCAAGTGAGCCAGAAAAAAATCTGATTTCCTGGAAGCTCCTAAGGAGATTACACTCACTTCCTCCTCATCTGGGCCGAGTGTTTACCAACAGCAGATTAAATTGGCTTGCACAGGCACAATCCCTCTGCTGGAAGGAAAAACATCCCCAGTTCAGAGCAGCGACAACCCCAAAAAATCCCAGGTTAAAATTCCTTCTGGATGGTGAAAAGGGAATGCGATTAGAGCTGGAAAAGCTCCCCTGGAACAATGTTTATGGTACACTCAGCCCCGTTGCCATGGTGATGGAACAACTATTCCCTGCAAACAGGCACAGAGACCCTAAAAATAAACAGCCCAGCCGAAATCCCCGTGTCAGGCATTAGTGGGAATGGGATGGGGAGAGAAATCCCAATTCCTAATCAACCTTTCCTAAAAGCTTTTCCAGCTCCCAGGGCTGTGACTCACCTGAATTGGTACTTTTAGGATTTTATCAATTTTAATTAATTTCAGAAAGAGCCTGCTGTCAAAAAAAAACCCAAAAAACCCACAAACCTACTGTCCAAAACCTTTTCCAGAGCACACACAGGTGAAATGCCAGGTAAAAGCCTCTTACATGTGTAAAATAAAGGAATTAAACAAGAGAGATGCAGAATTCTACACTCCCTTAGTGGAGAACGGCTGGAGCCTCCAAAGCAAACCCCTGCCTCGCTCAGGAGCTGCTCCTCAAAAATCCAGACAAAATATTCATTCAGCAGTTAAAAATCGAGCCCAGCTCTGGAGGCTGTCCAGCCCTGCTGGGGATTTTTGGGCATGGAGAGGAAGGGAGGGAGCTGGAGGTGGAATACAGGTATGGGATGTGTGTGTGTGTGTAGCAGAGAACAGCAAATAAAAAGCAGGATTTGCAGGATTTGCATACTTTCTCCTCTGCCTCCCCTATTGATGTGGGCAGGAATCCACCCAGTTCAGACAGGGGAGTGCGGGAGGATGAAAAAAAAATAACAGTGGTGAGGAATTAAAAAAAAAAAAAACAAAAAAAAACAAAAAAAAACCCAGCAGCCATTGGATCCAAGCAGCCCTTGGAGCCAAATAACCAAAGCCTGGATCCAAACAACGGCTGGGCTCAGCCTGCAAAGCCCTGCACCCAAAAACCTCCTGCACCCAAAGATTCCCTGCGTCCCACCAAGGAAGCCCTGGATCCAAACAGCCAATTCCTGGATCAAAAATATCCTAGATCTCACCAAGCAAGCCCTGGACACAAAGAAACTCAGGATTCCAGTGAGCAATCCCTGGATCCAAACAACTCCTGGATCCAAACAACCCCCGGACCCAAAAAACCAATTCCTGGATGCCAAAAATCTCCTGGATCCCACCAACCTGACTCCAAAAAACTCCTGGACCCAGAAATCTCCGACATCCCACGAACCAACCTCAGGATCCCAAAATCCTCAGGATCCCACCAACCAACATCCCACTCCAAACAACCCCTGCACCCAAAAATGTCCAGGAACCCAAAATCCTCAGGATCCCACCAACCAACCCCTAACTCCAAACACCCCCTGCACCCAAAAAAACAATTCCTGGATGCCAAAATCTCCAGGATCCCACGAACCAACCTCTGGATCCCAAAATCTCTAGGATCCTACCAACCGACCTCTGACTCCAAACAACCCCTAGACCCAAAAACCGATTCTCGCACCCAAAAATCTCCAGGATCCCAAAATCCTCAGGATCCCACCAACAAACCTCAAACTCCAAACACCCCCTGAACCCCAAAAAACCAATTCCTGGACCCAAAAATCTCCAGGATCCCTCCAACCACCGCCAGGACTGAACGAAGCCGCTCGAGCCTGGATCCCAACGCGCCCCAGGCTCGGCCCGGTCCCGGCCGCTCTCCGTGCCCGCTCCCAGCCCTCAGGGGCAGCGCCGGGGGCACCGCCCGCACCCCGCAGCCCGGCCCGCCGCTCCCCGCCAGCCTCCGCCCCCGCTCACCGAGGAGGAGCCCCGCCGGTGCCCGGGTGCCGTCGGGTGCCGGTGCTGGGCGCGGCCCCCCCGCCGTCCCTCATGCCCGGCCCGGCCGCCGGGGCCGCATCCCGG